TTTTCCAAACCTTTTTATTCCTCCTCAAATCTCCCATGGCTCCCAACCTTCTCAGTTGAGGACCTTGCCTCACATTTCACTGAAAAAATGGAGGCCATTGTCCCATTCTTATCTCACATGATGCCTTCCACCACAATCTTCTCCTTCGTCCCTATCTCGAATAATGAGATGGCCTTTCTCCTTTCCATGGCAAAGCCCTCTACATGCACAGGTGATCGTGTTCTTGTCTCCTCTAATAGATTGCAATTACTATCATTCCCATTCTCTCACTTATCTTTAATCTCTCCTTATCTACTGGTTACTTACCTATTGCCTATAAACACACCATCTCCCCCATCCTCAGAAAACCTTCACTTGATCCATCTGTGCTTGTTAGCTGTCATCCTATACCCTTCCCTTTTCTGTCTAAACTCCTTGAGAAGACTGCCCATAGTAGTTACATCCATTCCATTTCCTCTCAACTCTCTTTAATTCTCTATAATCTGCGACCAACTTGATTATGCACCTGAAATTGTTCTCTCCAATGTTACTAATCATCTCTTAAGATCTAGCTGTCCAATCCATTGACTTTTTCTCAATTTTTATTCATCTTGACCTCTTGGAAGGCTGTGACATTGCTGATCACATCTTCTCTTTGACACTCTATGCTTTCTAGGTTTTTATGACATCGTTTTCTCCTGATTTTCCTCCTACCTCTCTGAACATTCCTCATTCTCTTTTACTGGATCTTTATCCAGGTCACACCCACTAACTGTGGCTGTTCCAAAGTGCTCTGTCCTGGATCCTCTTCTCTTATCCCCACCCTTGTACTATTTCACTTGGTGATCTTATCAATTCCCATGGATTCCACTCTCATCTCTATGCATATGATTTTTAGATTTATTTGTCCAGGCCTAACCTTTAACCTGACCTCCAATCTTGCATCTCCAATGGCTCATTAGACATTTCCAGCTGTATGTTTCATAGCCATCTTAACTTTCTTATTACTGTGGAGAGTACCACTATCTTCCCAGTCACCTAGGCTTGAAACCTAGGTGTCATCCCTTTCCTCTCTCTTATCTCACATATTCAATGAATTGTGAAGTCCTATCATTTCTACCGTTGTAACATCTCCATATCTGCCCCCTTCTCTCCTCTCACGCGATCAACACCCTGATGCATTCCCTCATCACCTCACCCCTGGACCATTGTAATAGTCTGCTGGTCTCCCTGCCCCAGGTTTCTAACCACTTCAGTCTATCTTCCATTTAGCTGTCAAACTGATCTTCCTTAAGCACGGCTCTTACCATATCATCCTTCTTTCCAATAAGCTCTCTGCATTTGAATTCCCTGATTTCCTTTAGCTCTCAATTGAAACCTTTCCCAGCCCTCCTTAATCTTAGTGCCTTTCCTCCAATATTATCTCCAATTTAACTTCTATATGTCCTGTTTGTACACACCTGCTTGCATGTTATCTCCCCATTCCTGTCTTAGAGAACAGGAATTATTTTATGCTTCTTGGTATCTCTAGTATTCAGCACAGTGCCTGGCCCACAGTAGGCATTTACTGAATACTAGTTGAATGGAAATATGTTTTGCCTGACTGCACATGTATAACCTACATCAAATTGCTTGCCTTCTCAGTGAGGGGAGGGAGGGGAAGAAGAGAATTTAAAACTCAAAAGTTTTAAAAAACAAATGTTAAAATTTGTTTTTACATGTAATTAGGGAAAAATGAAATATTAAATAAAAAATACTAGTTAACTGACTTCAAGCTATCTCCCTAAAACTCTCTTCCCCTTTTTAGCCAACCTTCTTGAAAGAGCCTTCTATATTCACTGCTTTCACTTCTTATCCATTCACTTATGCCTCAATATGGCTTTGCAATATGGATTCTTACGTCATTGCTCAATTGAAATTGCCATCTCCAAAGTTACCAATCATTTCTTAATGTCCAAATCTGATGATCTTTTCTCAATTCTTATCCTTCTTAGTCAATTTGTTGCATTTGACACTCTTACCCATACTCTCCCTTGGGATACCTTCTCCTTTCTAGGTTTTTGTGAAGCTTCTTTTTTTCCTGGTTCTCTCTCTGTCTGACTACTTTTTGGTGTTCTTTGCTGGCTTATCATCCATAAGGAGTGGATATTCTCACAAGTCATGTCTGGGTTCTGCTCTCCTCTCTACATTCTGTTAGTAACCTTCCTTATCAGCCTCCATGGGTTTAACTATCATCTCTATGTAGATGACTCATATTTAAACTCACATGATTATATTTCTGCGTATAGAAATGTACCAGTATCCAGCCCCAGTCTCTCCCTTGAGCTCTAAGACATTTCAGACTAGATGTCCCAGTGGCATCTCAAATTCAACATGTCCAAAACTGAACTCATTATATGTCCCTCAAAACCATCCTCTCTTCCAGGCTTTCTTATTTCTCTTGAAGGAAGAAGAAGAGAATAAGAATTTATTAAGGACCTACTACATTCCAGGCACTGTGCTAAGCACTTTACAAATATTATCTCATTTCATTCTCACAACATTCCTTGGAGATGGGTGCTATTATTATCCCCATTTTATAGTTGGAGAAACTGAAACAGAAAGAGGTGAAGGGTCCAACAGCTAGTAAGTGTTCTAAGGTCACATTTGAACTCAGCACCAACATCTTTCCAGCCTCCTAGGTTTATGACTTTGGCATTATCTTAGCTCCTCACTTTCCGCTGTAGATATTCAATCAGTTACCAAATGTTGCCATTCATGATTTCTCTTGCATGTGATCCCTTTTCTCTATTCACACAGCCACCATCTAAGTGCAGGCTCTCATCTCCTTTGGCTTGATTATTGCAACAGGCTCCTCACTCATCTCTCTGCCCCAAGTCTTTCACCACTCTAGTCCACCCCACACACTGCTGCCAAAGCAATTTATCTTTTTTTTTTAAGGCAGTTGGGGTTAAGTGACTTGCCCAGGGTCACACAGCTAGTAAGTGTCAAGTGTGTTTGGTCTGAGGCCGGATTTGAACTCAGGTACTCCTGACTTTAGGGCTGGTGCTCTATCTACTGCGCCACCTATCTTTAGGGCAGCTCTGATCATTGTTATTATTGTTGCTCAGTGGTGTCTAATTCTTCGTGACCCCATTTGGGGTTTTCTTGGCAAAGATACTGGAGTGGTTTGCCATTTCCTTCTCCAGTCCATTTTATAGATGAGGAACTGAGCTGGATAATCTATCCTGCTGGTAAATCCTGTGGAGTTTTCATTTTTTGTTTAGCAGCTTCTGGATTTCCCCATCTTTTCATCAAACCAGTTTTGATGTTTGCAAGTGTTCTGGCCCAGGTGAGTAAATGTGGTGCTGTATACCAAATCTTTGAAAGCTACCCACTTCTTTTCTGCTCCACTGTTGTCAACCATGTGTTGGCTCAACTTTCTCTCCAAGTTAGCCACAAACTGTTCCTGCTCAGAGACGTGTTCTAATCTGTTGACATTAAGTCTTCTGGTAGTTGTCTTGCCTGGCGGCTGCCGCTTTTGTTGAATGCAAATATTTAACTTGGAGAGGATAAGTCTATGGTCAGTCCAGCACTCTGCACTACACATCCCCTTCATCACTCTCACATCCTGTCTGTCTCTTCTCCTTACAATGGCTTAGTCTATTAAATGCCAATGTTTCCTGTGAGGGTGCATCCACAAAGTTTTATTGTGTTTAGGTAAATGGAAGACAGTTTTGGAGATGAGGTCATGAGATGCGCAAGTCTTCAGTAGTAAAGGACCATTGCTATTGCTATTTCCAACTCCATTCCTCCCAAGGACTCCTTGCCATGTCTAGTAGTCTATGCCTATACTTGCTTTAAAGTCACTCAGAATTATAAGCTTGGCCCCTTTTGGCATATTGATGGTGACGGGCTCCAGGTATTCATAAAATTTTTCTTTAATCTTTTCAGGTCATGGTGGGAGCATATGGACTGATGGTGGTGGCATGGTGCTTTCCTACAAGTGACAATCACGTTGTCATGAATCTGTCATTCACTCCTTTTAGGAGGCATATAAGCTTGTTGACTAGATGTGTTTTGATTGTAAAACCTATATCAGCTTCAAGGCACTCCTCTTCACTACAACCACATCAGAATAACATGTATCCAGCTCCAACTTCGACAAGATGGTCTTCATTTGCAGCCTTGTCTCACTCAGGGCTGCTATTTGGATGTGATACCTGCTGAGTTCTCTTGCAACAAGAGCTGTTCATTTTTCAGGTCTGCTGGATTTCATGTTGTCCATAAGCACGTGCACATTCCATGTTCTGATGTGAATGGAATCATCTTTGCAAAAATTTTTGTACATTTTTTTTTGTATTTTGACTATAGGGTGGGATCCCCACCTGATGTGGTAAGCAGGCCAGGGTTGGGTGAAGCAGACAATTTTTAGGGCATTTTTCTAGCCCCTTCTTCACACCAGGAGGTGAGCAGTGCAGTCCATAAAAAAGGCTGCTCAGATACCTGGGGGGCTGCCCAATCCCACTGTTGCTTTCAGCCAGAAGACAACCCTATGCTACAGCTTCACAGGTGAGAGTTGGGTTGTCAAGTGGACACCAAAGGTGGAAAACAGCCCTGAAAAGGGCTCAGCAGCTCTCTTGCCAGAGGCATTAGTCTTCCCTGAATACACCCTACACCCCTGCTCCCAAACCACATTATTTTTAACAATTTCATATGTATTGTATTATACACCTATTTACATTTTATGTGTACTTCTCTCTCCCATTAGAACCCAAGCTCCTTGTGAGTAGAGATTATTTCTTTCTTTGTATCTGCATCCCCAGCCCATAGGGCTTCATAAATACTTGTTACATGATTGATTGACTGATTGAGGCTACATCTCCATACCATATATCTGGCAGCTTCTCAGGACTTAGCTTATTCTGAAAAAGTGACAAAGAATTTTCCTCATGATAAAAAACTGGTATTAGCTTCCTTTATCAAAATATTTTGAATTCTGATCTAATATGGAGAAAGCAAGTCAGAAAACCTCTACTTACCGCTCCACTTATGATGTACTCGTCAGTTCCCTCTTCCCAGAGAACCAGGATGCCAATAATTATAAGGAAAGTCCCAGTGAGTAAACAGTTAAAAATATCCTGTAATGCAGAGAAGATAACAGAATCTTGTAAATGATAGGCACTGATCTTTTACCTGGATACTACCATCCTTCCAGTCACACAGATTCACCACCTGAAAGTCACCTTGATTGTTTTCCCTACAATTTATTATTTGTGTATTTTTAACAGTTTTTTTCTTTTTAAATTTTGAATTCCAAATTCTCTCCCTCCTTCTCACTGCCTCCCCTACCCACTGGGAAGGCAAGCAATGTAATATCAATTATATGTATGAAATCATGCAAAACATATTTCCATATTAGCCATGCTTCAAAAAAAGCAAGAAAAGTAGAGAAACTCATACTTCAATTGGCTCTCAGTGTTCAGCAATTCTTTCTCTAGAGGTGGATAGCATTTTTTTTTCATGAGTCTTTTGGAATTGTCTTGGATCGTTATATTGATCAGAGTAGCCAAATCTTTCACAGTTGATCAGCATTACAGTATTGCTGTTACTATGCACGATGATCTCCTGGTTCTTCTTACTTCACTTTGCATAGTTCATATAGGTCTTGCCATGTTTTTCTGAAACCACCTCCCCCTCGTCATTTCTTATAGCACAATAATACTCCATCATGATCATATGCCAGAACTTATCCAACCATTCCCCAATTGATGAACATCCCCTCAATTTCCAATTCTTTGCCACCACAAAAAAAAAACTGCTATAAATATTTTTGTACACATGAGACCTTTTCCTTTTCCATCTATGTCTTTGGGATACAGACCTATTAGTGGTATTTCTTGGTCAAAGGATATGCACAAATTATTCTCCAGAATGGTTGGACCACTTTACTACTCTACCAACAGTTCATTAGTGTACCTATTTTTCCCTCATCCCCTCCAGTATTTATTATTTCTGATAGGTGTGGAGTGGTACCTCAGAGCTGTTTTAATTTCATTTCTCTAATCAATAATAATTTAGAGCATTTTATATGACTACAGATAGTTTTTATTTCTTCTTCTGAAAATTGTCTGTTTATATTTTTGACCATTTATCAATTGGGGAATGGCTGTTTTTGTAAATTTGACTCAGTTCCCTACATATTTGGGAAATTAAACATCTATCTGATAAACCTGCTGTAAACATTTTTGAGATTACTTTATTGTCTGTGGTACCTTTTATCAAAATGTCGTTTCCCTTTTGTCTTTTGATTATGGTCTATTTTTGCTTTTGCTTTGTCTGAGATCATGATTGCTACCCCTGCCTTTTTTACTTCAGCTGAAGTATATTAGATTCTGCTCCAGCCCTTTTATGTTAACTCTGTATGTATCTATCTATTTCAAATGTGTCTCTTGTAAACAACATATTGTTGGATTCTTGGTTCTAATCCATTCTGCTATCTGCTTCTGTTTTGTGGATGAGTTCATCCTATTCACCTTCACAGTTTTGATTACAATTCCTTCCACCCCATTTTCTTCTGTTTCTTCTCTTTTTTTTCCTTCTCTCTCCTCAAAAGTCTGTTTTGCTTCTAATCACTGCCTCCCTTAATCTATCCTCCCTTTTAATCTTTCCCTTTCCCCCTTTGCTTATCCCCTTGCCATCCTATTTCCCTATTTGACAAGTTACATGTCTTTTAAAAAAATTTTATTTATTTATTTATTTTTAATTTTCAACATTCACTTCCATAAGATTTTGAGTTTAAATTTTTCCCCCTCCCTATTCTCCCACACCCCCAAGATGGCATACAATCTGATATAGGCTTTACTTATACATTTATGTTAAGCATATTTTCCTTTAGTTATGATGTAAAGAATAATTAGAACTAATGGGAGGAATCATGAGAATGAAGCAATAAAACAAAACAACAAAGGAAAAGGAGAGGAAATAGTATTCTTCCATAGTTCTTTCTCTGGATATGGATAGCAGGACAAGTTACATTTCTATACCCAACTGAGCATGTATATATATTCTTCTCTCTTTGAACCAATCCTGATGAGTGAGTTCAAGCATTGCCCACTCCCTATTTCTGCTTTCATTGTAAAAACTCCTCCTTTTATGTAAGAAAAATTTCCCCATTCTACCTCTCCCCTTCCCCTTCCCTCAGTGCATCCCTCTTTCTTACCCCTTCATTTTTTTTGGAGATCATTTCAACATGATAGACTCACACTTACGCTCTCTGTCTATGTAACCTCCTTTTAACTGCCCTAATAATAATAAAGTCCTTAGGAATTACATGTATCATCTTCCCACATAGGAATATAAATAGTTTACCTTATTGAGTCCCTTATGATTACTCTTGCATGTTTACCTTGTTATGCTTCTCTCGAGTCTTGTATTTCAATTTCAAGTTTTCTATTTAGTTCTGGTCTTTTTATCAGAAATACTTGAAAATGCTCTAATTAGATGTCCAAATTTTCCCCTGAAGGATTACACTCAGTTTTGCTGGGTAGATTATTCTTGGTTGTAATTCTAGCTCCTTCTGCCTTCCAAGAAATTATATTCCAAGCCTTCCACTCAGATAACTTGGAAGCCACTAAATTTTGTGTGATCCTATGGCTCCATGATATTTGAATTGCTTCTTTCTGGATGCTTGCAATATTTTCTCTTTGACCTGGGAGCTCTGGAATTTGGCTATGATATTCTTAGGAGTTTTTATTTTGGGATCTCTTTGAGGAGGTGATTAGTGGATTCTTTCAATGTCTATATAACCCTCTGGTTCTAGCATATCACGACAGCTTGCCTGGATAATTGCTTGAACTATGACGTCTAGGCTCTTTCTTTGATCATGACTGTAAGGTAGTCCAATAATTCTTAAATTATCTCTCGTTGATCTATTTTCCAGGTCAGTCACTTTTCTGATAAGCATTCTTTTGACTTTGTTTTATTGTTTCTTGTTTTCTCATGGAGCCATTAGCTTCCACTTGCCCAATTCTAATTTTTAAGTAATTATTTTTTTGGGGAGATTTTGTATCTCTTTTTCCATTTGGCCAATTTTTTAAAAAGGTATTATTTTCTTCATTTTTTTTGTGTGTGTGCCTCTTTTGCTAAGCTGTTAATTCTCTTTTCATTATTTTCTTGCATCATTCTCATTTATTTTCCCAATGTTTACTCTACCACTTTTATCTCTTTAACTCTTCTGGGAATTCTTTTTGGGTTTGGATCCAATTAGTATTATTCTTTGAGGCTTTGTTTGTAACTGTTTTTACATTGTTGTCTTCTTTTGTGTGTCTTGGTCTTCCTTGCCACACTATGGTAGCTTTATATGGTCAAAATTGTCTTCTTTTTTTGTCATTTGCACATTTTTCCAACCTACTTTTGATTTTGAACTTTTTGTTAAAGTTGGGATCTGCTTACCTTGGGATGAGGAGGCACTATCCCAAGCTTCAGGATTTTTTGTGCTCCTGTTTTCAGAGCTAGTTCTGGGGGATCTGCAAGCTTTCGAGGTGGTGTGATCCTGGGAGAGGTATGGTCACTGCTTTCCTGGTCTGTACTCTAGTCTTTATCCATGAAGGACCCCTGGTCCCCTGTAACTGCAAGAGCTAGCACTCCTCTTTGCTTTGGTACGGTGACTAGGGCCCCTGTACCCTTGTGAATGACCACAAGTGCTCCTCTCCTCCCTGGAACTATGACCCAGAACTGCACATGGGAAAGAGAGTTGTCAATAAGCATCAGCTGTACCCAGTGCCAGCAAAGGGTATCATGTAATCTTTTTCTGACCAGTTGTCTGACCCCCCTTACCATTCTCGAAGTTGCTGCTGCTGCAGAGGTGGCAATAGCTGCTTTTGCTGCTGGAGGACGTGTTGGCTATAGGCAGGCCTCCACCTTGATGCCACGGACTTCTCCTGTCTTGGGTCAGAAAAATGTCTCACTCTAACCTTTTGTTGGCTTTGCTGCTCGAAAATCTGATTTGAGCCATTATTTTAAAGTTGTTTGGAGGGGAATGTTGGAAGAGTTTAGCTGGGTGGCTGCCCATAATTTGCCATCTTCTCTAATCAATCACCTTGATTCTTTCCTCTCCCTCTCCCATATTCTATCAGCTGGTAAGGCTTCTTAAGACTACCTTCATACCATCTTAAGCATCTTTCCCTTCACTCATACCACCCACTAACCCTAGTGTCTGGCACCTGGGTGGTATGGTGGATTCAGTTCTGGGGCTGGAGTTAGGATGACCTGTTTTCAAATCCAGTCTTACATACTTACTAGCTGTGTGACTGTGGGTAAGTTATTTAACCTTGATCTGCCTCAGTTTCCTCATCTGTAAAATTGGGACAATAATAGCACCTACATCACAGAATTGTGACGATCCAATGAGATAATATTTGTAATGCCGTAAGTGCGGTGTCTGGGACATGGTAGACACTAAATAAATCCTTGTTCCCTCCCCTTACTCCTGGACTATTGAACTGCTGCTTGATCTGCCTCGAGTCTCTTCACACTCCAGTCCATCTGTCCTCCACACAGTTACCAAAGTGATCTTCCTGAAGCTCAGGGCTGACCGTGTCACCCTCCACAAACTCCCTTACCCCCATTCAATCAACTCCAGTGGATCTCTATTACCTCCAGAATAAAACTTTACATCCTCTCTATGGCTTTTAAAACTTATCATACCTTGATCCTGTCATACCCTTCCAGTTTTCTTATATCTCATACCCCTCTACCTACTCTAGGATCAGTGACACTTGTCTCCTTTCTGTTCCTTGCAGCAGACACCCCATCTCCTGACTCTGGGTGTTTTCTCTGGCTATCCCTCGTGCCTGGAATGCTCTCCTTCCTCATCTTCACCTTTTGGCTTCTCTGGTTTCCTTCAAGTCTCAGCTAAAATCCTACCTTCTACAGGAAGCTTTTCCTAATACCTCTTTTTAAAAGAACTTTTGCTTTTAAAAAATTTTAATTTTATTTTTAGTTCTGGATTCTCTCCTTACCCCTTTCCCTTCCCCACACATTGAGAAGGCAAGAAAAACAAAATCCACTACAAAACCCTACATTAGCCATGTCCAAAAAGAGAAAGAAAAAAAGAAGAAGAAAGAAAGAGAAGAAAATATGCTTCAAGCTACACTCTGCATCTATTCGCTTTCTATTTGGAGGTGGATAGCATGTTTCATCATGAACCCTTTTGGAATTGTGGGTGGTTATTTTGCTGATCAGAGTTACTAAGTCAAAGTTGGTAATTTTTATAATATTCTTATTACTATGTAGATTATTCTCCTGGTTCTGCTCATTTTACTTTGCATTGGATCATACAAGTTTCCCCAGGTTTTTCTGAAACTATCCCTTCATCATTTCTTACACAATAGCACAACAGTATCCCATTACATTCATATTCAATAACTCCTTCATCCATTCTCCAATTGATAGGCACCTTCCGTTTCTAACTCTTTGATGCCACAAAAAGAGCTGTTATAAATATTTTTATACATATAGGTCCTTTTCTGCTTTCTTTTATCTCTTTGGGGCATAGACATACTAGAGATATTTCTGGGTCAAAGGGTATGCACAATTAAACAGGTTTTTGAGCATAGTTCGAAATTGCTTTTAAAATTTGTTGGTTTTCTAGTTTTGTTTTTAGTTGCATACCTAATTCATTAATCTGTTCTTTCTCTCTTTTATTAATGAAAGAGTTTAGAGATATAAAATACCTCCCCCCCAAATACTGCTTTGGCTGCATCCCACAAATTTTGGTGTGTTGTCATTTTCTTTAATAAAATTATTTCCCCAATTATTCTCAATGTTTAGTGCTTTCTTTCAGAGATCACTTCCAATTTATCCTCACTTATACAGAGAGTTGTTTGCATGTCATGTACTCCATTATACAGAAAGCTCCTTGAGATGAGGAACTGTCTTTTGCCTTTCTTTGTATACCCAGTGCTCAGTGCAATGCCTGGCATACAGGAAGCACTTAAGAAATTAAATTTCTTGACTTGACTGGAATCACATGAGATGAGAGTGGTTGGATGATTTGCAATTTGTACCTCATGGAAGGGAGTACCCTCCATTAGTGAGATCACAGTTCTCATTGATGTAGATATTCACATGATATATTGAAGGATGAGTATTTCCTGCACTGAGCACAGGGTCTTGTTCATTGTATATTTACTAAATATTCGTTGAATTGAATCAAGCCCAGCATGATAAATAGGGCAAGTATAAATATCCCGACTTTACAAATCAGAGAGCTAAGGCTTAGGGGAAACAATTTTCTCGTGGTCACAAAACCAATTAAATAACCTACTCAATATTTGAACCCAGAACTTCTGACTCCAACTCTATTGCTCTTCCCCCATAATACCTGATTTCCCCCACTTCCTCCATGTCCTAATGTGTATAGGAGGTGAAAACCTTCCTGTGTACCCTGTTACATTCTCTCCTCTGGTTAGGGTTACATTATATATGAGTTAGTAGCTTCCAGAGGAGATCCCCTTAAAGGCTACAGCTGAGCTTTGCATCTTTGAGGGACAGAGAAAAAGATAGACAAAGCTCAAGAGAGAAAGGGACAGAGAGGGAGGGACAGATAGAGAGACAGAGAGGAGGGAGGGACAGAGATTTAGAATCTCCTGAGAATCGGGTCAAAGCCTTATTGAATCATACATAGATCTTACATTTTAACTATAGGTAATGGACACTTACAAATATTGGCCACAATATGCACAATAACAAGTGGTGTAGACCTAACACATATATTATAATGAATGATAGAACTATGCAGCATTCCAATAGCAAGATGGCTATGTAGGATTCGTGGGCTGGTGCGATGATAAAGCTGATGGCTGCTCCCAGGACAAAACACTGTAAGAGAAGAGAGAGATTGAATTTAAACTTTTTGTTACCAACTGTCCCAACCTGACAGTTGATTTTGATTGAATCGACACCCAAACACAGTTAGTAGCTTGGGTGCCATTGGGAAGTGGATGGAACATGAGACTGACTAAAGGACCTTGGCTTGAACCTAAGGACCCTAACTCACCAGCTTGGGCCCCTCCCTTTACCTCTTTGTATTGTCCTCCCTTGTAAAATGGGAATCATAATATTTGTACTGTTTTCCTCCTAGGGTTTAATTTAATTTAATGTCAACTTAGTTATAATAACACCCTATGGTAAAACCTTGAGCAAGTCTCTTCCCTTTGGGGAGTCTCAAATTCTTCATTAGAAAAATGAGGAGGTTGGATTATATAACAACAGTTGACCTTTAGGTTGTACTTGAAGGTTTGAAAAGCACTTGACCTATATGACCTTATTTGATTCCCTTGGTCTGGTCCCGTGAGACAGTTGCTGTTCTTTAGCCCAGATGAAGAAACTGAGCTGGAGAAGTGAAATGACTCTCCAGGGTCACACAACTTGCATATGTCTGAACTCAGACCTGGGTATGCCTGTTTCTATGCCCAAAGCTCTTCCTACTATGCTATGTGTCCTGAGATGCTCATTAAGGTCCCCTTCTGTTATAGCATTTTATAGTCTATGTTTTAGGCCCTTTTTCTAGCTCAAAGAGTCTGTGGTTACATGGTTCTATAGTTACTGTGCATATATCATATCTTTATGGTGGCTAGAAGTTTATTGTTCCTTTCAGGTGTGCTCAGTGAACTCATACTCTCTTCAAAGTGCACACAAAATAAGAATGTATCATTTTAACCCTGGCAAAATTTAAAATAAACTGTTTTCTTCCATCTTCCTTTTTTCTCAAGAATTTCATGGAACCTTATTCTCATTGGGAATGGGTTAAAGAGAGAACAACATATATATCTAGAGGGGTATAAAAGTCTTCTAAATTCAGAAAGAAATAAAAGGGCAAGGGAATTGGGGGGGAACAGAGGGACTTCTAGAGGGGTGGGTAGTGGAATAGGAGGTCAAAGTACTGGGTAGAAGTAAAGTAGAGGAGTGAAGAGAGATAGGGTAAATAGGGTGAGAAAGATAGTGAGGAAAAATAAGAAAGGGGGAAATATAAAACAAGGAATCATAGCTTAGAATGTGAATGGGATGAATTTACCTGGAAAATGGAAATGGAGAGAAGATTAAAAATCTGAATGCAACAATATGTTGCTTTCATGAAACACAATAAAACTGAGAGATATGAACAAAGATAAAATGAAGGGCAGGAGTAGAATTTTTAATCATGATCTCAAACAAAGTTAAAGCTAAAATGAATTTAACCAAAAGAGAAAAATAGGGAAATTACACTATGGGTCAGCAACATCATTCAATATTGTTTTAGACAATTTAAAATAACTAGACAATATAAAATCTGAGGTTATGCCTACCAAAACAGACACAGAAATTATATGAACATAAACATAAAAAACTTCTTAATACAAATAAAATCAGATCTAAATAATATTTATTATTCATGGGTATGTAAAGTCAATATAATAAAAAAATTGACAATTTAACCTAATTTATTTATTCATTGCCATCTCAACTAAATTACTAAAAAATTATCTTACTGAGCTAGACAAATAATAACAAAGATCATTTAGAAGAACAAAAGGTCAGGAATTTCAAAGAAACCAGGGGGAAAAGATGTAAAGGAAGGAGATTCAGCAGTATCAGATCTTAAACTGTATTATAAGAGGAAAGCATCATTGAAGTATAAGATGGATAATTTTGATTATTTTAAATTAAAATATTCTTGCATAAATAAAACCAATTTAGCCAAGAATATAAGGAATGCAGAAAATTGGGGGAAAAAAAACTTTCATAGACAGTCTCTCAGATGGGATATGATTGTGTGAGAATACTGCTGTAGTGTAGGAAATGATGAGCTGGTTCATTTAGAAAAACATGTCTAGACTTGGTTGGACCTATGAAAGAAGATGTTATCCACCTTCAGAGAAAGAGATGACAAGTGGAAATATCAATAGTATGGTCTTATATATATGGGTATGAATGTATATGTGTATGTTTATAGATGTCTGGGCATACTGTATACATATACTATATATATATATAATATACATATATATGTGTGTGTATATATATACATAATACATACATACATATATATGTATGTATATTATGTATATATATACATACACACATATATATATGTATATAATATACATATCTGCATTTAATTGTAGCCTTCTTTAGGGTTGGGGGAGGGAGGGGAAAAATAAAGTAAAAAGTGCACAGCAGAGAACAAAAGAAAACCTACGAGGAAGCAAAGAAAAGCAGGGTAGTTTTGAAAAAAATGTGTAGTATTTATCATATAGGCTTTCTTGAAATAGAAATTTATTGTTTTATATTGAATTCTCTCTTGTGTACTGATGTGTACATGGCAGTGTTCTTTTTTTGTTTGTTTAGTATTTAAGTTTAAAATGAATACAAATTTACAAAAAAAAAAGAATTTCACAGCATTCAATACAATTCCGAATGATAACAAATACTTTGAATAACAGCTATATTCTCTCTCTCATATATGGAAATATGTGAAAAAAATCTGAAAAAAACTAAATTTAAAAAATCAACTTTAAGCCTATTTTTAAAAATCCTCTGTTATTGTCTGGTTGTGGGGGTGAAGGTAAACCTGGGATATTGAGGGCAATCCCAGAGAAGTGCAAGTTTTGGCAGGTCCTACCTGGCTGGCAAGGCTCAGGAAAAGGCTTAATGTCAGACTGCAACTGTCATTTGAGAACCAAGCAGTAAATAAACATTTATTAAGCACCTACTAGGTGGCTTAGGGGACAGAACACTGGCTTTGGAATCAGGAAAACTCGTATTTATGAGTTCAAATCTGGCCTCAGATGATTACTAGTGTGACTCTGGGCAAGTCACTCAACCCTGTTTGCCTCAGTTTCCTCATATGTAAAATGAGCTGGAAAAGGAAATGGTAAACCACTCCAGTATCTTTGCCAAGAAAACTCCAAATAGGGGGCAGCTAGGTGAATGGAGCACCGGCCCTGAATTCAGGAGGACCTGAGTTCAAATGCAGCCTCAGACACATAACACTTACTAGCTATGTGACCCTGGGCAAGTCACTTAACCCCATTTCCTAACACCCCACCCCAAAAAAAATTTAAAAAAAAAGAAAACTACAAATGGGGTCACAGAAAGTTGGACACAGCTGAACAATAGCATGTACCAGGCACCATTCTAAGAGCTGGGGATACAAAGAAATGCAAAAGAGAGGCCCTGCTCTGATTACCTCCTTTAGAAACCAAGCCCAATTCCTTCATCTCACAGATGAGGAGAGGGCCAAGCAGTATAAAGCTGGCATGTGAAAATATCAAAATTAATACTACTTTTAGTTCTACTGTATGAGTTTAACTGATTTTATGCTGTATTAATTTACAATTGAGCCAGCTTTTCCTTTGAGTTAAAGTTATGAGTTAGCTTGTCATTATCCCCTCAAATCCTTGACTGTCCTTGTACAATTAAGGAGGGTCTTAGCTCCCTAACAAACCCTTCTCAGTGCCAGGGAATCTGGTAACTCAGGTCTCCTAACAAGGTTTTCAAGAAGCTGATGGGTCCTATAAAACAATTAACATTCCGTGAGAGTAGTGGTCACTAGCCCCATATGGGTATGCTAGCCCACTTTCTTTAAAATAACCAACCATGTTGTCCCCACCCACATGATGCTGTCTACCTTGTAACCAATCATACTGTCTTCCCCACCTACTCAACTCATTACTCCCCAAAACTTTATTAAGGCTGGTGAGCCCTATCTCAGGGTCTTTGGTCATTGGAAGATCCCATTGACCCAATTTATTGGTTACTACTAGCCTAATTAATAAATTGATTGTGCTCAGATCACTGTCTCTCAGTTTACCTTAATTTTATTTAAAAAAATATTATATTCCCCCCCCCCCAACTATATGGCCAGGAACTGTGCTAAGTGCTGAGGATACAAAGAGAAACAAGACAGTCTCTACCCTCAAAGAGTTCACAATCTAATGGAGGAGACAACAAACATATATACAAGCTCTATAGACGATAAATAAGAAATAATTAACAGAGAGAAGGCACTAGAGTTAGGAGGGGTTGCGAAAGGCTTCATGTAGAAGATGAGATTTTAGCTGAGACTTAAAGAAAGATGGGGAAGCAAGCCCATAGGTGAATCTGGGCAAGGGGAACAGTCCAGGCATGGAAGGCAGCTAGGAAAAAATGCCCTGAGGGAGAAATGGAATGTCTTACTTGAAGAGTGGCAAGGAAACCAGAGTTACTGATTTGAAAAGTATGTGGAGGGGAGTATGGAACTGGAAAGATAGGAGGGGGCTAGGTTATGAAGGGCTTTGAATGCCAAGCAGAGGATTTTGAATTTGATCTGGGAAGTGATAGGACTACCTAGAGTTTCTTGAGTACGGGGGTGACATGGTCAGACCTGTAGCTTTAGGAAAATCACCTTAGGGGCTGCTTGGAGGATGAACTGGAGTGGGGAGAGACTTAAGGAAGCAGACCCACCAACAGGCTATTGTAATAGTCCAGGTATGAGGTGATGAGAACTTGTACCAGAGTGGTAGCATTGTCAGAGGAGAGAAGGGGACATATTGGAGAAATGTTGCAAAGGAGAAATCAACAATCCTTAGCAACAGATTGCCCATGGATGGGGATGGGGGGGAGAGGGAGTGAGAAATAATGAGTTGAGGATGATTCCTAGGTTTTAAGCCTGAGGGACTGGGAGGATGGTGTTTCCCTCTACAGTAAAAGGTAAGGTAGAAGGAGGGAAGGGTTTAGGGGGAAAGACTCATTTTAGATATGTTTAGTTTAAAATGTCTATTGGACATGCAGTTCAAGATATCTGAAAGTCAGTTGGAGATCTGAGATTGGAAAGTCAGCAGAAAGGTTGGAGCAAAATAGATTTGAGATTCTTCAGCACAGAGAGGTTAAATGAATTCATGGGAGCTGATGAGATCACCAAATGAAGTAAATAGAGGGAGAAGAGAATGAGCCTAGGAAAGAGCCTTGAAGGACACCTATTGTTGGAGGGCATGTTCTGGAGGAAGATCCAGCAAAAGAGACTGAGAAAAAGTAGTCTGATAGGTAGGAGGAGAACTAGGAGAGAGTGGTGTCCTGGAAAAGGAGTTGAAGGTAAGTGTTGCATCATTTTTCAACTTTATACTCAATACAGGGCCTTGCATCTAATAAATGTTGGCTGGATTGAATTGAAATTGACTGATTTTTGACCAGTCATTTTAGTTAAGCAACTGGCAAGTAACTGATCAACTGGTCAAAATAACCCACCCAATGTGGATTTGCAAAGTGACACAATCAATTAAGAAAAAAAAAAGACTCCATTTCTCAAGGACTGTTGGTCTTGGCTTTGGCATGGAGGGAAAGAACCTTGGACTTCAAATAATGATACCTAGATTTCAACCTGGGCACTGCCACTCACTGTAAAGTGAGGAGGCTGGGCTTGGCACCTTTCCTCACCTTCAGTCTCTCCCTATCTCCTGGCTCCTTCCCTGCTACCTACAAACATGCCTTATCTCAACCATTTCCTTAAGCTACTGATATATATTTTCTTCATTGTTAAATTGCTAAAAAGAATTGTCTGCCTATCACCTATTCATATCTCAGTGCCAAGCAATCTGGCTTCCAGACTCCTGTTGTAATAAAGGCTGCTAATGACTTCTTAATTGTTAAGTTTAAAAGCCTTTCCTGGGTGTTTATCCACCTTGACTTCAATGCACCTTTCAATGTTGACCATCTGCTTGCTCCTCCTGGATACACTCTTTCTTCCATGGGCTTATCCTGGTCCTCTTCCTACCTGCTGACTACTCCTTCTCAATCTTCTTGGCTAGATCAACATTTATCTCTTATCATTCTAGTGTTCCACAATACTTTGTCCTTGTCCTATTTTTCATCTTTTCCTACACTCCTTTCCTTGGTGAGCAACTAGGTAGTGCAGTGGGTAAGGGAGCCAGATGTGGAATCAGAAAGTCCCAAGTTCAAATCCTGGTTCAAACACTTAATAGCTCTGTGACCCTGGCCAAGGTGTTCAGACTGTCTGTGAGGTAGCCTTCCCAACTGTAAAATTGGGATAACAATAGTACCTATCTCCCAGGGTTGTTGTGAGACTCAAAAGTGATAATCTTTGTGCAGCACTTTGCAAACCTTAAGGTGTTATGTAAATGCTAATTTTTATTGTCTCATTTGCCAAAGTGAGCTCAGTTATTAACTCTAAGCAGATTACTCTCAAATATACCTCACTAGCCTCAGTCTCTCCTGAGATCTAGCCCTGTATTTCCAACTGCCTGCTGGATAGCTCCACTTATATGTTCTATGGGTTTCTCAAACTCAACATGACCAGAACCAACCTCATCAGCTTCCCTTATAAGCTAGTCTTCCTATCTTCCCAAATTCCTCATTTCTGTTGATGGTACTGCCAGACCCCCCCCCCAAAAAGTCATCCTTGACTTTTCCCTCCCCACATATAGAGTATTGTATCTTGTTTGGGGGTGACCCAGGGAGGATGATCACACCGCCCTCCCCCACCCCCATCCAAACAATGACAAAGGCCTGCAGATTCTTTCTCCGAGCATATCATATTCATTCCTTCTCTTTACTACACTGCAGTCAGTGTCCAAGTTTAATGGCCTTCGAACTCATAGACACAGAGCTTCATGGTCCAAAAAGACCCTGGAGACCAAATCTTTTATTTTCGGGGTGACCAAAATGAGGCTAAGGTGACCCAGTTGGTTAATGAAGAAGGCAGGACTTGAATTCAAACCCAGGGCTCTTTCTACCACATCACATTGTCTTCCCCCTCTGTGAATACCGGATATGGTCTTGTTCTACTTCCTCCTTCATTAAAGGCAGAAAGATGTAGAGGGAAAAGTAAAAGGTCCTATATAAATACTAACTTTGATTGTCTCATTTGCCTCCTGAGTTCAGTTATCATCTCTGTGCAGATTACTCTCAAATCTACATATCTGTCTTCAGTCTCTCCCCTGAGGTCAGCCCTTGATTTCCAACTTTCTGCTGGACAGCTCCACCTGGATGTCCCATAACATCTCAAAAATCATGGATTTTTGGCCAAGGCTCACCCACCAGTTTACTATCTATGAAATCTCAACCCAGTCCTTTCCTTCTCAGGGTCCTGATTTCCCCATTTACAAAATGAGGCGACTGGATCAGATGGTCTATGCTATCAGATGGTCTATTCCAGCTCTTACTTTCAAAATTGGTTAAGGACAGCCCCTTTCTCCAGGTCTTCTAGTTCCTAGTCCTTGTCTGGTTCGCTCTCCCCTCTCTCTTTCCTCATACCGCCCCACCCTCCCCCAAGCCTCCTCCCAGCCTGGGAGCCCCAGGGCAGAGCGGGGCGGGGCAGGGTGGACCCCCTGGGCTCCCAGAGAGCGCTCACCAGCCTGAGGGTCTTCAAGACGCCGGATCCCGAAAGCAGGTAATGGAAAGCGGTTCTGGTCACCTTGGGGTGCACTTTCTGTCGCCCCTCGGCCCGCTGTCTCATCTTGATTGCTTTGGACTCTTTGACTTTGTTCATGGTGGTGGTGGGAGTGGAGTTGGGCCCAGCTTGGGGCCACCGGTCCGGGAGCCGTAATAAGTGAGAGGCCCTGGGTCCCCCCAGTAGCAGCACTCTCCCCCGCCCCCCACCAACGGCTGCATCCTGGCATGGACCGCGTCATCCCCCAGCTTCGCTCTCCCCGCTCGGTGCTTTCGGACTGCTTCCTCCCTTTGCCCCTAATTCGACCCCTAGGCTCCCGCGGTTCCATAGAAAACAGAACTGGACCCGTGATTTGATCGGCGCAATGTGCATATAGCGTTACAGATGTGCCTAGGCACTGAAATGTGACTAGCCCAGGGTTACACAGCCAGTAAGTATGTGTAAGAAATGAGACTTGAACTCAGATGCTCTAACTACCTGCCTTTTCTTTTGTAAATTTTCTTTTTTTTTAAGGATCTTTGGCGATTTATATATTATAGTGAGACTTGAGATATAAGAGCTGAAAGGTCTGAAGTCCAACCCCCTGAATTTATAGAGTAGGTAACTGAGAGGTTAAGTGATTGTTCAAAGTCATAGTAATATCTAAATCAAGATTTGAACTCTGCTCTTCCTGACTCCAGGTCCAATGCTCTAATAACTACACCCAGCTCTTCTTACCCACACTTTCCTTTCCTTTTTATGCAAATGACTGAACCTCTGATTTCATTGGTATAGGAAACTCTCACATGAGGAAACTTTCTTTACTAAGACAGGTTGACCCCTCTCTAAGGGTCTCTTTTAGGCTTACCCAGGTGCCTAGAACACTGAGAGACTGTGACTTGACCAGGGGCACACAGCCAGTATTATGTTTTGGTTGCTTAGTCAACAAGCATTTATTAAGCCCCTTCTATGGGCCAGGCAGGGCATCTAGGGGTTGCAGTGGATAGAGCACCCAGATTGGAGTCAGGAAGCTCTGAGTTCAAATCTGGCCTCAGAGGCTTACAAGCTGTGTGACCCTGGGCAAGTCACTTAACTCCTAATTTCATCAGTTCTTCCTCTGTAAAATGGGGACACGCTGGAGAAAGAAATAGCAAACCACTCCAGCATCTTTGCCAAGAATGACCTCATGCACTTGGGATATACTAGGAATACAAAGAAAGCCTACCCCTCTAAACAGAAGCAAAATCAAAAACAGTCTCTGTTCTCAAGGAGCTCCCATTCCAATAGGGGAGAGGGCTATGTAAAAATCTAGGTATGTGGGATGCATATATAGAGTATCTTAGGGTAATATGAAGGGGAAAGGCCTTAACAGCTGTGGGAAGGGGAGCAGAAAAGGCCTCCTGCCCAAGTGGGGTTTAAGCTGAATCTTGAAGGAAGCCAGGGAAACTCAGAGGTGGAGTTGAGGGGGCCAAGCATTTCAGGATAGGGGACAGCCAGTGCAAAGGCACAGCGTCATATTTGAGAAACCCAAAGTAGGCCAGTGTGGCTTGATCATAGAGTTCATAGAAGGGAAAAGTCTGGAAGAGTTGGAAGGGGTCAGGTTAGGAAGGGCTTTAAATGCCAAATAAAGGAGTTTATATTTGATCCCAGTGGTAATAGTTAGCTATTAGCGTTTTCCTTGAGCAGGTCAGTGATGTGGTCACGTTGGCAGCTGAGTGGAGAATGAATTGGAGTAAGGAGGACCTCGAGGCAGGGAGATCAGTTATTGCAAGCTATTGCAATGGTCCATACAAGAGGAGATCAGGGTCCAAACTAGGGTTGTAGTTGTATGATGAGAGACAAGGTGACATAAGAGATGTGAAGATAGAAACATCATGATTTGGCAATGGATTGGACATATGGGGTGAGGGGAAATAGAAATTCCATTTAAAGTTTCCCCTAGGTCTATTTTCCAGGTCAGTTGTTTTTCCCATAGGTATTTTACATTTTCTTCTTTTTTTTCCATTCTTTTGAATTTGTTTGATTGATTCTTGATATTTCACAGCCATTAGCTTCCCCTTGTCCAATTCTAACTTTTAAGGAGTTGTTTTCCTCTGTTAGTTTTTGTGCTTTTTCTTTTATTTGGCCAATTGTACTTTTTAGACAATTGTTTTCTTTTTCCAAGCTGTTTACTCTTTTTTCATAATTCTCTTGCGTCACTCCCATTTCTTTTCCCAATTCTTCTTCTACCTCCCTTGTATAATTTTCCAGCTCCTTTTCGAGCTCTTCCGTGACTTCTTTCTGGGCTTGAAGCTACTTCCCATTTTTCTTTGGGGCTTTGCCCATAGGTGTTTTGACGTTGTTGTTCTCTTCTGAGTTTGTGTCTTGATCTTCCTTGTCACCATAATAACTTTCTATGGTCAGACTCTCTTTTTTGTTTGTTTTTTGCTCATCTTTTTTCCCCTTTTCCTTTCTTTGAAATTTGAACTCTGCTACTGTGGTGGAAGGGGCACTGTCTCAGGTTTCTGTTGCTGCCTGTCCTGGACTGTGCTCCACCTTTACCAGAGTGAGACAGACCTTTTCTGTTGATCTTCCAAGTTTCTTGGGCTCAAATATTGTTTCACTTCATCTTTTTGATAGTTTCCCTGTTCCAAGATTTCTTTTGGGGTAATATTTTATGACTGTTTGGAGGTGAACATGGGAGAGTTATGGTGATTTACTGCTTACTGCACCATCTTGGCTCCTGGAAGTCTGCAATAGCCTCATAATTAATTTCCTTGCCTAAAGCCTCTCCACACTCAAATCCATCCTCTACTCAGCTGCCAAAATGATTTTTCTAAAATTATAGGTCTGACCATGTTGCTCAATAAACTCAATGGTTCCCTATTATCTCTAGAATCAAACTTTGTTTGGCATATAAAGTTCTTCAAAAACCTGGTATAGCATACCCTCAGGGGCTCACACACCCAATTCTTGCTCACACATGGAGGTCTCCATATGGTGACTGACTACAATTACTTAAGGTTCCAAGGGTAACCCTGAGGGTCTGGATTTCTACTATTTCTAGTGTTATAGTTTCACAAGCCCCTACTGGTGTGCCTGCCATTAACATTCTGCCAGAATAAACTAGTTTTTAGCGAAAGTATTTACTAAGATGGTATAGCAAGAATAGTAGTTACAAAAAGCATTTATCCAAAACTCTGGAGCATACACTCTCACAAAAGCATACGGAGTATATGTTGAGGGCGTGTACAAACAAATTGTAAAGACAGTGAGACAAACACGTAGATACCACATGTGGCAAAAGTTAACTCACAAATCCTGGTTATTAAAAGCACACATTTAGGGGTTTGGGGGAAATTGGGGAGCTGCCTTTTCCCTTTCTCACTTTTCCTATCTTACTATTCTGGACATACACATATACACTGGGTTTAATAATGGAAAATTCCTCATGTCCCCCAAAACACTGGGCATCAAGATTCTCCCCAGGGGTTCCTGAAGCATGTAGGGCACCCAACTAGATGCTTGTGTTGATCCCTCACTAGGACAAATATTCCATCTTAGAAAAAAAAGCATACTCAGAAAAGCTCCAAAAAGGCTCCCCAATGGGAATTAGCATTCAGAGTTTATTTCTTGGGATTTCTAGACTAATAGGCAAATTTTATCCTGTGGATTTGCAGTCCATGAGGCTCTCAGATAAGCTGTTTAGGATCATATCTCAATAGGGCACTTGCCTAATTACAGTCCAGGTCTGCTTAAAAGAAAGAAAAACCAAACCAAAGCAAACAAGCATTTATGAGATATATGCAACTTCATAATTGTGTGATCTTGAACAAATGTGTCCATATAGCAATAAGACAGATATGAATATTTATGCATTCAAATCAGTGAAATTTCTTCAAAGGTTTAAATTATACAGAAATGCACCAGAAAACAAACTACTAAATTACTGTTGTTGTTGTTCAGTCATTTCAGTGTGTCTGACTTCAGTCAAAGTGTCTGACTCTTTGTGACTCTATATAAGAGTTTTCTTGGCAAAGATACAGGAGTGGTTTGCCATTTTCTTCTCCAGCTCATTTTACAGAAGAGGAAACTGAGGCAAATAGGGTTAAGTGACTTGCCTAGGGTCACACAGCTAATAAGTATGTGAGCTCAGATTTGAACTCAGGTCTTCCTGACTCCAAGCCTGGAACTCTTATCCACTGTGCCAACTGCAAAAAGGGGGGGAAAAAGTGCTAGTTTTTCTCAAATAGCTCTACAAGAATGAATGTCCCAGATGGGAAATCTCTCCAGGAGATCTTTGCAAATGTGAAGAAGCCTGGACAATAACCTTCTGTAAAGTTATCCCTTTGGGGCTCACCAACTTGACTCTTACATGGTGGGCTCCCCACATGGTGAATGATTACTATGATTTAGAGTTAAAGGGATAGGCATGAGGGTCCAGGTTTCTAGTATTGCCACTCAAGAGTTCTTGCTAGTTGACTTCCCACTAACAATTATTTGGACTTAGCTTTTTAGCAAAGATATTGAATAACATCATATACAAGATGGTATAGTAAATAGTTACAAGAATATTTTCCCCACCTCCTAAGTTCTGAGACACATTCTTCCACAAATATGCACAGGATTTATGGAGAGAATGGGCACAAATTTAAAGTAAAAGGTGGTCAGGCGCAATGTAGATAATACATGTAGCAAAGGGGTCCCTCCCAAATCCTGGTTACTGGAAGCACTTTTTTCCTGAGGAGTGTCCTTGTGAAGTTGCTCTTAGCTCTTCTCTGCTGGGTACTGAAAGTCTATGTCTTTGTATAGCTCATTGCCAGCACTTCCCTCTGCCATGAAAGGCATGCTCCTGATGCTGCCTTTCCTTGGGTGTCTATCACTCCCATGATGAATGGGTTGTCTCTTACTGGTCCAGTCCCTCTAATCCCACCTGGATGTGCTTTGTTCCTGGTCCATTCTTTTTGATGACATGGTCAATGGGGTGGAGGGGAGGGAAGAGAAAGGGGGAGAAAGAGGAAAGGGAGGGAGAAAAAGGAAGGTGAGAGGCAGAGATAGAGACACACAGAGAGAGAAAACTTTCTCCTCTCCCCCAACATCCCTTCCTTGCAAACCCTCTTCAATTCTCTTCAGAGGTTTGACTCCCCTTCTCAAACTAGAATCCTCCAACCTGAAACTCTTCCAGGCAGCCAATAGCACAATTGTTGGGCCTGGAGTTACCATGACTTGAATTCAAATCTGGCCTCAGACACTAGCTGTGTGACATTGGACGATTCACTTAACAGCTATTTGCCTCAGCTTCCTCAACTGCAAAATGGAGATGATAAAAACATCTACCTGAGAGAATTGTTATGAAGGATCAAATGAGATAATATTTATAGAAAGCACTTAGCGTAGTGCCTGGCACTCTACAAATGCTTATTACATTCTCTCCCTTTCCTTCCCATCTTTCATCTCTAGACTGGTTCACCTTGATGGACAATTCTGAACCAGCTTGCTCTTTTTATATATAGTCCAAAAAGTGCCACTTAATTTTCTCCACCGATTATATTTCTTTTTTCATTCTATATATGAAATCCTATTAACTCTCTTCAGTTGATTAAGAACTTGCTCATACCTAATTTACATTTGACTGATTTGAAGATTTAAAATAAAATTAATTTAATTTTGACAGAAAGTCTGGACTTTCTGTGATTACACTAATTGGGGTAGTGGTCTTCTATGTCTTCATTCAGAATTGAATTCAAGTGCCACCTTCTTAGAAACTAGTCTTTCCTGGTCCCTTTACCTGACAGTGCCTTTTCCTCTGAGGTAATTTTAAATCTCCTTTGGACATATCTTATATATATCTCTGTATGAACATGCAGTCTCTCACATTAAAATGTAGTCTCCTTGAGGGCAAAGATGGTTTTGTCTTTTTCTTTATATCCAAGGATATGCTGGTAAAGATTTAATAATGGGCTCTTTGGGGAAAAAAATACACAACAAGCTTTTAAATTTAATCTGCCTTTTTAATAATTTCTCCACCACTTTCTTAACTCCAGACAATCAGCAAAACAATCCATCAAGTCCTGCTTTGTAACATTGCTGATTTCCAAGGTGTAAATGCTCCACTGCAAATTTAGCAGTTGCCTCTCCAAAGTGGAATGGGCTGACTCTAGAACACCTGTTTTATCCCTACTCCTAAGAACAGTGTCTGGTACAACTGAGTAAATGCCTAATAAATGCTCATTGAACGAATCATTCCTTTTCATTGCCTTTCTAGAGCTCATTTGGTCATCCATCTGCATGTTTTCTTACAGCCTCCTGGGTGTTTTACCTCTGTGGTGCCATAAATTTCCTTCCCTTTGGCCATACAATCCTAGATCTCCAAGTCACTGCCTTCTGCACCTCTCAGTTCTACCCCAATCTACTCTAATTTTTCCCTAAGGACAGAAAAAAAGGATAAAGGGGCACATTCATTCAAAAAAATATTTAGTGATTATTGTCAACCATTTTTAGAGTTTGGTCTGAGAAAGACAAACATGATTAGGTTGTATCCATCATTTTATTTCACTCAAAGTGGGCAGCATGCCTATACAGGAAGCTGCAATGTTGGAACTGAGCTCCTTTTGGGGTTTGGGTGCCCAGTTTACATATCCTTCCAACGGGGGCTGATATCATTTCATCATCATTTTCCTCTCTGGACAGAGGAAATCTCTCTTCTATTAGAGCACCCCTCCCCTCCCCCAGGTCTTGGGCTATCTAGACAAAAGAATCTGTCTCCACCCAAGCCTGGGCAGAACACAATGGGGCTTCTGTAAATTAGATTAAATTATTTGTGAGCTTGGGTTGGAGTTTGACCAGGATAAGAAGACTCAATGCAATCTCATTATCAGTAATGTCCTTCTAAAGAAAGAACAGAACTTTGGAAGAAGGGGGTTGGGGGAAGCTCTGATTCTCCAAGATGATGATTATTAAAAAATCATTTTTTACGCTATCTATTGTGTGCTCAGTCCTAAAGAAGAAGACAAAAAAGAAAAAAAAAGGTAGAGAGTGTAAGCATACATTATCATGAGGACTGTGATAATGAAATTATGAATAGAAAATACTTTGCAAAACCTAAAGCATTATAGAATTATTACTTTTACTAAACATCTTAAGACATCTGGGAAGCAGGCTTTGTTGCTTATTATGTGACCTTGAGTATATCTCTTCTCCTCTGGAGCTGCTTTCCACTACATCAGCTTTCTTGCAGATCTGAGGGGTTATGCTCTAAGGTCCCATTCAATTCTAATTTTCCATGAATTCTCTTCTACGGAATCAAAGTTGGAAGAAGTCCCAGGGGTCATCTAGTCGAAGCTATACTTGAAAAAATCTTCCTTACAATTACCCTGACAAATGCTCAATCTCTATTGCTCTAGTAAAGAGCAATCCATTGCCTACTGAGGCAGTCCCATTCTCCTTTTGCATGTCTATAGTTGTTAGGAAGCTTTTCCTAGATTAGGATCAGAGAGTCAAAGCTGAGAGTGACTTCAGCCATCTTATCCATTCCCCTTCATTTTACCTGTGATAGAAAGAGGATTTGGTTGTCCCTCTATCCCCATTGTGGATGTAATCACAGAAAGCAAAAATGACATGGTAGAGTTTTGAGGTGTTGATGTGTTAATAAAGTATTAATACCTGGTAAGCCTGTAATGAAGTGTGAACATGAAAGGATTAAAGAAAGTAATGACATTGAAGTAAGAGCTGAGCAAACCTTTGTTGTTTAGTTGTTTCAGTCATGCTTGACTTTTCATGAACCCATGTGGGGTTCTCTTGGCAAAGATACTAGAGTGGTTTGGCATTTTCTTCTTCTGCTCATTTTACAGATGAGGAAACTGAAACAAACAGGGTGAAGTGACTTGCCCAGGTTCACATAGTAAGTGTCTGAGGTGGGATTTGAACTCAAGAAAATGAGTGTTCCTGACTCCAGGCCTGGCCCTCTAGTCACTGTACCACCTAGGTGCCCTGAGCAAAACTATACAGGGCTTTAAATAGATTTAAATGCCTTTGCTAAGTGCTAATTTAATCTACTGGCTGACTGTTAATGGGAAACACTAGTGGGGACTCTAGTAAATATCCACTGAACCTTGAGGTAGTAGTTACCCCCAGGGTACCCAACCCATCCCCAGAATGTGAGTGAAAGTTGGGGGAATCTTCCAAAGGCAGAGTTATATACATATGAAGAAACTGAAGGTGAAATGTTAAATGACTTAACTAAGGTCGCTAAAAAGTGGCAGAGCTAGGACATATTGAATCGTAACAGCTATCTCTCTTTCTCTCTCTGTCTTATTTCTGTCCAAGCAGACCAAGTCTAGTGCCTTTTCCATGGAACAGTCTTTTAAAACTTTAAACAGAGTGCTGAAATTTTGTGTGGTCTAACATCGTATGCTCTGAAGTTCCTTTGAGCTTTAACATTTTATGTTCTAAAGTCACTTCCAATTCTGTCATTCTATAATTCACCCTCATATGCTCTTCTGAAGGGTAATGAATGTTGGGTGTATCCCCCCCTCAGGTCATAAAGTAGGATGCTCAGGAGACCTCTTGGCATCCATTTGTCAATTATGCCACTCCCAACCCAGGCAGACTCTCCCATTTGAGGACTCAAACATCCCTCCATTAGCTATGTATCTTTATGTCCTTCTTCTCTTCCAGTGAGACCCTTGAAGGCTGCTTTCCTGGGCTTTAGCTGACAGGATTGTAGTAAAGGAACATTGGACTAGAGTCCCGAGGTTTGAAGTATGGCTTTGGCCAAGTCAGCAATCAGTAAATGTTTATTAAGTACCTACTGTGTACTAGGCATTATGCGAAGCCCTGAGGATCAAAGACAGTCCCTGCTGTCAAGGCACTCACAATCTAATGGTGGAGACAACATGCAAATCACTATGTCGTTATTGTTTGTCCTTCATATTCAAACGGGACCAATCACATCATGGGGGTGATGTCTTCACACATGAACTGGATTTAAGTGGGGCAGAGTTGCAAAAAGTTGTCAATCTCACTCTCTTCCAGAGTCATCATAGTTGACTGGGAATGGCTCAGGGTATAGTGGATGACCTTGGCATCTTTGACGTCTAATCAAGCTCTAAGTTCCCTACAGCACCCACTTCAGCCACCTTCATGGCTGTTGGAACAAGCTATTTTCATCCACCCATTCTGCCTGGAGGAATCTTCACATGCTTGGGGTGGATATCCCCTAACTCACCAGAGGGTCTGAGACCCCCTGGTTACTCTCAACCTGGTTTAGCCTGGCTGCCAAAATGTTTTACCAGGGTGTGGCCACTGTGCATGCTACAGCTTCCTGGAGCCATAGGTGAGAGTTGAGTGCAAGACAGACACCAAAGGTGGATAAACAGCCCTGGAAAGGGCTCAGCAAGCTCACATCAGAAGTGCTGGTCCTCCTTGAACACCCCATGCACCCCAAATCACCATGTACAAACAAGTTATAGACTGGATAGAGAGAGAAGATATTAAAATTAAGGGGGATCTGGAAAGGCTTCATATAGAAGGAGGGATTTTAGCTGGAACTTAGAGGAAGCCTGAAAGGCCAGGAAGCCAAGAAGCAGAGGTGAGGAGGGAGAGAGTTCTAGGTATGAGGAAGAGCCTGTGATAATGCCAAGTTGGGAGACTGAGTTTCTTGTTTGAGGAAAAGGAGAGTATGTTGGGAAGTTTTTAAGTCGATCCACTCACATCTGGCTCCGTGAATCCATGGATCATACTGTCCATGGGGTTTCCTTGGCAAATATATTGGAGTGGTTTGCCATTTCTTTCTCTAGTGGCTTAAGTCAAACAGAGGTTAACTGACTTGTCCAGAGTCACATAGCTAGTGTCTGAGGCCAGATTGGAACTCAGGCTGACAAATCAAAACAACCCTGAGGTACTACATCACACCTATCAGATTGACCAACATGACAAACAAGAAAATGATAAATGTTGGAGAAGATGTGGGAAAATTGGAACACTTATGCATTGTTGGTGGAGTTGTGAAATGATCCAACCATTTTGGAGAGCAATTTGGAACTATGCCCAAAGGGCTATAAAAATGTGCACACCTTTTGACCCAGCAATAACACTTCTAGGGCTATATCCCAAAGAGATCATATGAATGGGAAAAGGACCCATATGTACAAAAATATTTATAGCAACTGTTTTCGTGGTGGCAAAGAATTGGAAATTGAGGGGATGCCCATCAATTGGGGAATGGCTGAACAAGTTGTAGTATATGAATATGGTAGAATACTATTGTGCTATAAGAAATGATGAGCAGACGGATTTCAGAAAAACCTGGAAAGAGTTGTATGGACTGATGCTGAGTGAAGTGAGCAGAACCAGGAAAATGTTGTACACAGTAACAGCTACATTGTGCAATGACTAACGTTGATAGACTTAGCCTTTTTCGGCAATGCAAGGATCTAAGACATCTCCAAAGGTCTCATGATGGAAAATGCTATCCGCATCCAAAGAAAGAACTATGGAGTTTGAATGCAGATTGAAGTATACTATTTGCTATTATTTTCCTTCAGTTTTGTTTTTTCTCTTTCTGGTGGTTCCTCTTATTGGTTCTAATTCTTCCTTATAATATCACTAATGTGAAAATGTTTAACAGGAATGCATATGTATTGCCTATATCAGATTGCGCACCCTGTCTTGTGGAGGGACTGGGTAGGGAGTGGGAAAAAAATTTAAAACTCAAAAGCTTATGGGAGTGATTGTTGATAAATCAAAAGAAAAAGGAAAAAGGAACCTCAGGCTTAGTGCTCTATCCACTGAGCCATCTAGTTGTCACCTAGCTGGGTGGTAGTGGTGGTGAGAATAAAGTCTAAGATGACTGGAAAGGCAGGAGGGGGTTAGGTTGTGAAAAGCTTTGAATGCCAGAGAATTTTACATTTGATCCTGGAGGTGATAGGGAATCACTGGAGTTTCATTTCCATTCTCCGAGTCTGTTTTCTAATATATAAAATGAGGGCAATACTTGTACTTGTCCCTCAGGCTTGTTTTGAAGAAACTTTCATAAACTTTAAAATAACATAGAAATGAGAACTGTTAATGAAATGGACAATGGTACCTGCAAATTTATAAATTACACGTTTCAAAACATTACAGTTAATTCCTACTTCTCAGGGAGTTATAAATCATTCTAAGGGACTTCAGTGTGCAAACACTCATTATGACACTGATAGTCAGATAGTCAAAGAAACTTAGAAAATCCCAGGGGACAGAATCAGACCAGAATCATAACATGGTTAATTTTTATCATATGCTCAGTGTAGAGTGGAGTCTGGGTGTATTATAAAAGGTGAAATATGGAAACAATAGAGTCAGAGATAAATGTTACCAAGTAAATTTTTTTGTTACATATACCAATTATTTTTCACTTGGGTTACGAGCTTCTGAGTGTAATGGTTGCCTTTTGAAAGGTTAATAGACTGGTTAATAATACCTTGCTTTTTATGTAACTTTTAGTTTTCTAGGAGTGTAGGGTGTGTTCTGGGAAGACTAGTACCTCTGATGTGAAGACTGCCAAACCATCTTCAGGGCTGCTTCCCACCTTTGGTGTCCAACTGTTCTACCTCTCACCTGTGGCTCCAAGAAACTGTAGCATGCACAGTGGCTACATGCCAGTAAACCGTTTTGGCCAATGCGCTAAACCAGGTGGAGAGTAACCAAGGGGTCTCAAACCCATTGGTGAGTTAGTCAGGGCAGGGGGTTGGAGTTTACCCCATGCATGTGAAGACTTCTCCTGGTGGAATGGGCAGATGAGAACAATCTGTTCCAAAAGCCATGGAGACAGCTGAAGCAGGCAGTGTGGAGTGTGCTCAGAGCTTGGTTAGACACTGAAGACACCAAGGTCATCCACTGCATCTTGAGCCATCACCAGTTATCTTGACTCTGTCCTGCCACTGGACTGTGATGACTGTGGAGGAGTGAGGCTGATTGACTTTGTGCAACTCTGCCTCACTTAAATCCAATTTACACACACAAAAGACATCACCCATACCATTTTACTACTTTTAACTATCTCAAAGTCCTATGGTAACAGGCAAATGATGCCCTTTGGGCATAGTTCCAAATTGCTCTTCAGATAATGCAACTCTGATGGGCATCCATGTTGTTCAAATGCAAAATGTACATTTGCCAGAAAGACTATTTTATGGAGAACTCACATAAGGCAAGTGTTCACACGATGGTCAGAAGAAGCGATACAAGGACACTCTCAAATTCTCTCTTGACAACTTCAGAATTGATTGTGTGACATGGGAGACACTGGAACAGGACCGCTCAGCATGGCATGCCCACATCAGAGAAGGTGCTGTGCTCCACAAGCAAGGCAGAACTAAAGTAGCTCAAAGGAAATGTAAGAGGCGCAGATTTAGAGGATTCATCCCAAATATTCATGTGGACTATCTGTGTCCCACCTGCGGTAGAACATTCTGAGCTCCTTTGGTCTGCTCAGCCAGTGGGACACACTGTAGCCCGACTCTGGCACAGTGATGTCATTTTGGTCCTCTCTGAGAACAAAGGACAACAACCAATCACCCAATAGTTTTCTAAGTCTTTTCCCATCATTTTGTTCATTACACACACACACAAACCCAACGCGGTGTCATGCAGGCAGAACTTCTTGCTATTTTACAGACTTGGAGTTGTTCACTTAACTAGCAGAATACGCTACTTGAAGTTCTTTAAAAAATACTTTATGAACTTGACAAACACTACACGCAAACATTTCCATATACAAACAGAACAAGGTGATTATCTATGAAATCATGAGTCTCTATTCTGCATAGCTTGTTTTTAAAAACACATATATCAGATTTAACGGAGTAGCACCACCTCTGCCCTGCTTTGTCTGTCCCTTTCTGAAACATTCTTCTCTTTCAAATGTTAAAATATTTCACTTAGGCTGTTTTCTTTCTCTCTCTCACCTTCCTCTCCTCCTCACTCTGGTCCCAAATAGTCAAAACAAATTCGCACATTGATAGTGTGAAGACGCATCTCATTCTGTCCCTATACCCTCAGAGGTGGTCAGCATGCTTCATCATCAGGCTTCTGGACTGGTAACCCCCCCACTGCATTGATTACTTTTTCTAAGTCTTTCCAACTTGCTTTCCTTTATGATAATGTAGTTGCTGCATAAATTGTTCCCCTGGTCCAGCTCATTTCACTCTTCATCAGTTCCCACAAGTCTTAAGGGCCTGTTTTTAATTTTGTCTTTGTATCCCCAGTGCTTAGCAGAATGCCTTGGGTGCTTGTCCAGTCTCTGATTGTCTTTTCTCCTTCTCAAATGCAGGTGGAACTTGTTACCTCAGGCCTAGCTCTTCTCTCACCTTCCTCATAAGATAAACTGTGGGACCTTCAGTCATCAGAAGTCACTGAGGTTCCTGCCATGTTTCCCTTCTTGCCATGCCTACCAGCTCCAGAACTTCCAGGGGATGACAGGAAGGGAGAAGGGGACTTTTCTCCTATTCTTTCTGCTTTTCTTCGCTAATCTTATTCTCCTTTGTGGTCATGGGGGTCAGCTTTAGCTCTGGGCAGCAGCAGGGTTACTGCCTTGAAATCAGCTTGTACTCAGACTTCATGTGATCCTCTGCTTTCTCCAGTCCCTGAAGCTTCTATATTCTTCTATATTCTCTATCAATTCTTTACTCCTCCCTACAGCTTCTCTCTCTTGTCTGTCCCAAGATCTTGTCTGTAATATGCAAATAAAGTAATTTTCAAACTTTAAACTGCATAATCCAAAGTCTTCTGGGTATACCTCTTCTGTCCTAAAAGCTTTACCAACTCAGTACACACAAGGAGAATATAGATGCATCTGTGTAGTAGCAGGAATAAGGATAGAAAAAGTAGGGAACCGCTCAAGATTTTTGAGACTCCTTTTTCACAAATACACATTTTTAATGCAAGAAAACCAGTTCTTTTCCTACATAAAATAGAAGTGTTGCATTGGGTTGAAATGCCATGTGGGGTCGTGACCCATAGACTAAGAAGCCTTGCATTAGATGACCACTGAGGGCATCCTTCCAACTATGGTTCATCATGTTGAATTAGTTGCAAAAATTCACATTTCCTATGCAAACAGGCAGGGGTGCAATTCTTAAACCTTGCCTTATCCAAGTTCTAGTTCTAAGCTTTCAGATAACCCAATACCCTGGGCTGGAAAGAGACTGGAAACTTTAGGATTACTTTGAGATTCAGAGGAGGTAGGGACCTTAGTGATGATTTAATCCAACTCCCCGGTTTTATAGAGGAAAGCAGCCAACTATCAAGGCCAAGCCGCCTGCCATTCAGATGGAACCAGAATCAAAGAACTGAGTACATCCTGTTCTTCCACCTCTAAGGCAGAAATGCTACCAGTCTCCCTGTTTCCAGAATTTGTCCACTGGAAAGTCTTCCTTATTTTACTTTTCCCCCCTCTTCCCAATTTCACACTTTAGAGAAAACATGAAAGACTAAAGAAATCTATTTGAATGCAGAACAAACAACATTACAAGCCTTCATCTTTTTCCAGAGGGGGATGAGCCTGATAACTTTGATGGGAGTGATGAGAGCGGCGAGAGTGACGAAAACGTCGCTTTTTGTCATGACTGTGCTTTTTCTCGTAGGGCCACTTGGATTAAACATAAGCTTTCTGTAAATGAGGGAAGCATCTGCAATGGTAAACACAGTTGCCACAATTCCAAGGATCTGTTTAAAAAAAAGTTATTTAGTCATTCATGGAACAGAGAATAATTTCCCATTCCCCCCTTGTAATTTTTAACAAAATCTTTATAACAATCTTTACTGAATCTAGCTCTTTAGGTTGACTCTTTCACTTAGATGTAGATTGGTAGGGATCTTAAAGATCATTTAGTCTAACCCCCTTTTTCCTTACTCTCATCTCTGTCAAAGTCCTCCCCTTTCTCTGAAGTTTCTCCAGTAAGTAGGGAGAGAAACTAAATGCTTGTTAATGAAAAATAAAATATTTTTAAAAAAAGTTTCTCTAGTAGCTGTTTGGAAAAGGAAAGAAGGCCTGGAAAAATATTCACTTGTCTTCCATCTGTATCTGTGTATTGCGAGCCAAGGAGTCTATTTCTCCGGAGCATTGTATAAATTCACGAGTGCTTAGCACCATATTACTGTTTTTACTGTTTAACACCTTGATTTTAATGGAATCATGAAGTATTAAAGCAGGAAGGAACCTTAACAACCACCCAGGCTAACAGCCTCATTTGACAGATTGGGAAACTAAGGCCCATAAAAGGGAAATGAGCTAAAATATAAATCCAGGTTCTTATCACCTAGTCTACCATCCTTTTGGTGAAAGGGTGAAAAGTAAATCGGTTCAATCTAGGGAAGTTGTATGGGATGTATATACAAATATTATATAGAATTGGGCTATAGATGTCACCAACTGAGATCCATCTACTTAAGGGAAATAGCATTTTTAGGACTCCTCTTAGGGGCCTGAAAAAGAGAACTGATTTGTATTAAATAAATGAATATCCATGATGCTCTCAAGGATCAAGCTGAGGTGACTAGTGTCTAAATGAGAAACTGAGACTAAAGAGACTAAAGGTACTATGTAGAGATCAAATGATCCAATCCGTGTAAAGAAGGGATATATGCATTGTTAGATTCCTGAGAGTTTAACAAAAAGAGTCTATCCTCACTCTAACCCACCATATTCTGTTCTTCCTTCTGAACACAATGCCTTTCTAAGTGACTGAAGTAGTTGGGTTTGCAATAAGGACAGGCAAACTTATTGGCCCGCTCACCACATTGTTCTGAAGAGGACAGGTGAGAACTCTGCAGATCTTTTTAGACTAAAAATGTGAAAATCTTTTGTTTCTTCCTCTAAAATAGACAAATTAGGTCTAAAGCACATTGATAAGTGGGAGAAGGGTAATCACAGACTTAAAGAGTTGGAAGGGAATTTAGAGGTCATTAAACCCTACTCCCTTCATTTAACAGATGAGGAAACTGAGGCACAGGGGGTCAAATAACTTGCCCAAAGCCAGGTAAGGTAGTAAATGGCAGAGGTAGAATTCACACCCACAGACACTGACTATACATTCTGTGTTCTTTCCATTATAGCAGGTGACTTTCCAGGACCATGAAAGAACTAGGGATTTTTAACCTCAGAAGAAAAGATTTATTGGAGTAAGATCAGTTTAGGTAGATACATGATGACTGCCTTCAAATGTCTGAAGGGCTACCACATAAAAGTGGTATTAGGACTGACTAATGAGTCTGTAACAGGGAGGCAGATTTTTGCATTGTGGGAGGTAATGTATGCTTCTACATCACTGAGGATGTGTAAACATAAATTGGGTGACCACTTACTGGAAATGATAGAGGTGATTTCAGGAGAGGGGTTAGATCAGATAAATTCTGAGGTCCCTTCTAAATCTGGGAATCTATGACCTTATTTCTGTACAAATCTTAAGAGAAATGTATGTAAATAACATTTCCAAATGGAAAGAACTATTAGATGGTCCAGCTATGCGACCCTTGCAGATAAGGAATATTACATTAATGCGAAGAAATCCAAGTTTAGTATACTTTCAGGAGTAAATGGTACTCTAATTTTAGTGTAAAATTATACTCCAATTCTGGGGACACAATTGATACCATTAATTATCCAGACTTTTATTGACAACAATTAGCTTAGGGAATGAAGCTACCAACACCTGTACTTACCCCTCCAATAGCAACCTTTATTTTAGTTTCTGGTACCAATGCCAAAACAGACACGATCATAAGGCACATTATGGTCATAAGTGAGTTTATAATATCCTGAAAACATAGCATAAAGAAGTCAGATTTTCCTGAAAAATAAGGCTGACAAAAAAAAATGTCGTTGGACTTAACATAGTAAAGTCTAAGAAAGGCAGTACTGCTTAATGGCAAGAGACTTAGGCATCAGAAGAATCGGGTTCAAGCTCCATGGCTTATGAATTGGGCAACCATTTGCAAGTCACTTCTCCAAAGCTCAAGTTTCTTCACTTGTGAACTAGGGAATGACAAAACCTACACTACTTACTTGAAGAAGTCATTGTGAGGGTCCAATGAGATAATGTGCATAAAGTGCTTTGCTAACCTTAAAGAACACTTTAGCCCTGTAGTGCTGTAGAAATGAGGTGTGAGTTATCTCCAGCTCAGAGGACCCAGTGGTCCTGCTTTTCTCTACCACAGTTGAGTCACAGCTACTAATCCAGAGCACAAATTGTGGGTGAGATTTTGGATAGGGCAGATAGGCTTTAGGGGTATCAATTATAAGATATCAGTAATGCTCAGTGTTCAGGTATCGTAGGTGCAGGGCACATATGTTCTAACTCAAACAAGTGAGGCACAGTGGTGCAGAGAAAAGAGCACTTAGTTTAGTCAGAGGATCTGGGTTCAAATCTCAATCCTGCCACTTGCCCCGTGTGACCTCTCTGGGCCTCGGTTTCTCCTCATTCATATGAAGGGGTTGGCCTACAGGGCTTTTAAGGTCAGGACTTGGCATAGTACTGGGTGTATATCAGGCACTTCCTAAGTGCTTTTTGACTTTAAGAGCCCTTCCAGTTCTAAAACTATGATCCTATGAATTATTCTGCTGTCATTAATTAGATGTTCAGATTGTAGACAATTCATACCAAACACAACCCTCAGTCAGTATTTATCTTGCCAGATGCAACAATTGGTTTGATAATCGTGCCATTATTCCTGGTAAGGCTACCTAATGTGATACGACTGGCTGATTTGACAACGTCCTGAACTGCAGCATCTGGTTTCAGGAAATGTATTTTGTGCAGTTTATTTCCTCAGCTGTCCCACCAACAGCGTCAGCTCTTCAGTGTAGGTGGTGTAAGGGGTCTTGTCAGGCCCTATTAGAATGCTCTATCGCCATAAGACTACCTCCTTTTAACTGGCGAGAAATACAAACAGAACATAAATGCTCATTCTTTGATGCCAATAGTGTCCCTGGCCTTTATAAAAACATATTCGTGTTATGCCTGGGAGTAGTCCCTTACCCTCAGCAGTTATCAGATGACCTAGCAGAAAAGATGAGTCCACAACATATTACTGCCAGCTGGAATAAACCCTGGTGGGGATACAGAATCAGGTTCTGGGAGCTGGGGTGCTGAAAATGGTAATCAAAAAATGAAGGGGATATTAAAGAATAATTTTTCCTAGGTCAGGTGTACCTGAGGCTAACCTGCATTGCAAATTATATGGATTGTTGGCCATTTAGGATTCACTCACAGATCAACTAGGCTGATGGGGTTGTCATGTTTTAGAACAGGCTTATGCAATACCTAACAAGAGTTTTACTGGCTCTATAAGTATAAAAGTGTGCAGGGGTTACATGCTAAGTACAGTGTTACCACAGAAGAAAATGCTTTTTAAAGAATATGGTTGATGTCCATCAAATTGGGGATTGGATGAAAAAATTATGGTATAGGAATGTAATAGAATTTTTTGGGACTATAAAAAAATGAAAAAAGGGACAGAGTCAGGGACACCTGGGAAGAAACGTATGAAGTGTATAGAACTAGAACTATGACACTGTAAAGAAAAACACTGACTTTGAAAACTCTGATCAATGCAATGATAAACTGTAACTCCAGAGGACCAATGATGGAACCATGCTATCGAACCCCTGACAAGAGAGGTGTGCACCCTTGGTGTGTAGATATATTTTTTAGATATGGCCAATGCATGATTTGTTTTGCTTGACTATGCTTACTTGTTTTAAGGGTTTGTTTTTTCTTAAAGGGGAGGGGGTTATAGGGGAGAAGGTGGGTATTAAGAGTGGCACTAAAAAAGAAGACAGAAGGAGAGAAGGATTACAGACATAGCAAGTAGGGGGAAGGAAAGAAGCATTTACATAGTTCCCACTATGTGCCAAGCACTGTGCTAATCACTTTATAAATATTATCTCATTTGATCCTTACAACAACCCTGAAAGATAGGTGGTGTTATTATCTTCATTTTATATTTGAGGAAACTGAGGCAAACAGAGATTGGGCACAAGATCACATAGCTAAGACTGTTGGATTTAAACTCAGGTCTTCCTGACACAGTGTTCTATCTACTAACCACCCAGGTGCCTAAAAAAGAGGGTCACTGAAGCTTTAAAAAAAATGAATAGAACAGAGCAGAAGGAAATTCAGAAGGAAACACAAACAGAAAAATTTTGAAACCAGTATGGTGAATTTATGACATGCTTTTTTAAAAAGCAAGTTATATGTAATAAGAAACATATGGTTTCACATACAATCCTTTTTCGTTGTTCTTTGTATATGTAAATGCTCATGTTAGTTGATGTTTGTCTAATTCAGAACAAAAATTTATCCAAAATACCTTAAAAGGAAAAATTGTTGAGAAAATTCTTCATATTTTAACTAGCGTGTTGTACTATGTTGTTTCCCATTAAGCCTAATTTTTTGCTTCTGAGTTTAAGACAGGAATTTTACAGAATAGCCTGTTCTCTCCTCTCTGGCCAGGATTATACCAAATATGAACTGATAGTTGTCATATACTACATTTCAATTATGCAGCTTTGAAGATGAGTGGAGTGCCACCATAAGCCACCCCAGAGATTTAGGGGGATGAGGCTCTAAAGCTTAAAGGTCAGAGGCACTCCTATTGACCAACTCTCCCAAGACTACCCTATGAGTGGGTGGAGGAGTGTAGCACAGCTGTGTAACAGAGCTCTATGTAAGCATGTAGAGAAGGTGATACGCTGGCTAAAACAGCCTTTAATATTAAAGAATGGAGCTTATACAGTAAAGGCCTTAATATACAGGGGAAAAAAATCACTATAAAAATGGACACTTACGAGTAAAGGCCAAAACAAACATCTGAGCAGTAGGTCAAGTCTTAGTATATACAATACTATGAAAAAAACCACACTGACGGCCTCGAAAGCTGTGATTACTATGTATGGTTCAGGGGCTTGAGCAAGAATATATAAGACCAAGGTTATTACAATCAAAATCTGTAAGAAAAAAAAAAAAGGATTTACTTCAACAGAATTTTGTTTCAAGTTGTCAACATTTCTAACTATGATTGTTTTCTAAATACACAGGCATGAGGGGTGACTATGAAGTATTAAGACTGATTTCTTCTTTTCTTTGCTGAAGCAAAGTCTTCTAGTACCTGTGCCCTTTTTATCTTTTTCCTTTCTTTCCTCCCTCCAGCTCTTTGCTTCTCCAATTCTTCTTCCTCTCTCTTCAATCCACAAGCCCTCCCATTCCCCACTTGCTGGGGTATACCATAGCAAATTCCTGCCACATACTATAAATTTTTATAAAATTATACACACATACACACAAACATAAGGGAAAGCACTGAAGCTTTCATCCTCAGCTTGCCAGGAACACTGATTAAGTGATTTGTCCGGGGTGAGAAGCACTACTTGAATTCAGGTTTTCCAAGGCCACATCTCTTGTTACTATGCCGGTAGTTCTCAGAGTATGGTCTGAGATCCTCTTTCAGGAGGTCTGTGAGGTCAAAACTTTTTACAATAATACTGAAATGTTATTTGCCTTTTTCAATCTCATTCTTCCACAAGCACAGTGTTTTCCAGAGGCTACATGACCTACAGTTTGATTTAGCTGTGAATATGGAGACTGAGTTATTATTTAATCTGTAGAATTATGCTTCTGCCTCACAAATGGAGAAATCTACAGACATGTTAATGGAGTAGTGGAGGTGGGGAGAAGGGGAATAAGCATTTCCATAACACCTACTACTTACCACACTGTGCTAAATACTTAACAAATACTACTCTGCAAGGTAGGTACCATTATTATCCCCATTTTATAGTTGAGAAAACTGATTTGCTCAGGGTCATATAGCTAGTAAGGTCGGATGTGAACTCAGATTTTCCTGACACAAGGCACAAGGCACTCTGTCCACTGAGAGCAATGATGACCAACAGACAAACTTTGTTATTCAGACATGGATATGTTATAGACATTTTCTCAAAAATGAAGTAAATCTGTCACTTCAAGGAAAAAACCCAGAGTATTTGTTGCCAATGATAAAATTTGAGCTTTTAAGCAAAAACTGGAATTTTGAAAAACTTGAATCTACCACCATAAGTTTAACAGTTTCCTAAATACTTAAAAAAGCTTTTCTGATGAGATGGGTGGTGATAGTAACAAATGTGATGCTTGTATTGTTTAATGAAATGTGTCATTATTTGGGGAATCTGCAAAACACAGTGGATACATTTTTTTTTCACAAATGACCAATGCATGTTACAGAATTATGCATGGGTAAACAATCCATTCAAAGTGCAAGATAAATCAATGAACTTTAAAGTAAGAGTACGAAAAGTACATTGATATGGTTTCAGATTCCATCCCGCAACTAACACTTATCAAGTTTCGATCAACTAGTGTCAAAGGATAATATTCACAATTATCTGAAAAGGCTATTAAAATACATTTCCCTTTTCCAAATACTTATGTATGTGAAGCTGGATTTTCAAGTACTTCAAATAGCATATTACAAGAGACTGAAGGTAGAAGCACATTAGAGAATATAGCTGTTTAAGACAAACATTAAAGAGATTTGCAAAAATGTAAAACAGAAATTCTCACTAAATTTTGTTTTGGAAGATAGTTATTTTTCATAAAATGTTATTTATGTTAACATATAATGGGTTTGTTAATATTATTTTAAATGAATTAAACATTTAAAAATATTTTCCATTTTAATTTCTAATATGGTAGATATCTACAGACATCACCCATAAAAACAAAAGCTCTTTAAAGTTCTCAATAATGTTAACAGTATAAAGGGACAAAAAAGTGTGAGAACTGCTTCACTCATAAAAATACATAAATGCTTATTATTTTATATATATCATCACTAGCATGTTATAATGGAAATTAGTATATCTGGGCTTATGTCAACAGTCTTGAGTTTGAATCCTGCTTTCAACATGTACTTCTAGTTACCTATCAGTAAGCTGTTTATGTATATAGCTAAATTCCTTTTAAAATAACCTACATTTACACCTCATAACTCATCCATTTTAAATGCTTATAATCTGACTTCTGGCCCCACAACTCTGGTGAATGATTACTCCAAAGTCATGAATGACCTCCTAATTACCAATGCCAACAGTTCTCAGTCTTCATCTTTCTTGATCCATCTGCAGCCTTTACTACTGTTGATCACCTCTTCTTCCTGATCTTCTCTTCCAGTTTTTGGATACTATTCTCTCCTTGTTCTCCTTCTACCTGCCTGACCACTCCTCAGTCTCCTTTGCTGCATCCTTATCCAGGTCACACTCACTGACTGTGGATGTCTCACAAGGCTTCGTCCTGGGCTCTGTTCTCTTCTCCTTCTCTACTATTTCACTTGGTGATCTCAGCTCCAATGGATTCAATTCTCATATGGATGCTAATGATTCTGAAATCTATTTATCAAACCCTAACTTCTCTGCTGACCTACAGTCTCACATCTCCAATGGTCTACTGAACTTCTTGAACTAGACATCACCTGTGCTCTGGACAGCCTTCCCAGCTTCTAAATTTCCCTATTACTGTAGGGGGCTCCACCAGTCCCTCAGGCTCACAACCTAGGAGTCATCCTGGACTCCTCTCCATCCTCCACGTGAAGACTCTAGTGGTTCCATTATTACCTCTAGGATCAAACAGAAACTCCCCTGCTCCACATGGACCCCTTTCTTTCTTTTCAGTGCTCTTACACATCACTCCCCTGCACTCACTCAAAGGTACAGCCATACTTGTTGCTTCTCACAGGACTTCTACCTTTTGCACTGGCTGTCTTCCATGCCTGGAATGCTCGCTCTCTATTCCTCTTGGAATCCTTGGCTTCCTTCAAGATTCACCTCAAGTGCTGCCTTCTCTAAGAGGCCTTTCCTGCTTCCCAGCCTTGGTGCCTTCTCTTCTAAGGTTACCTTCCAATTACTCTGTAATGTAGAGGTAAGAACTGAACCTGCAATTTCATCGGTACAGGGAACTCCTGAATAAGAAAACTTCCTCTATGGTACAGAAAGATTGTGACTTGCCTGGGGTCATACAGTAAGAGACAGGACTTGAACCCAGATATTCCTGGCTTCCAGGCTCTCCATCTTGAATGTTTTCTCTATATACCTGCTGTCTCCCTCATTAGAATGTAAAGTTCTTGAGGACAGGGACTGTTGGGTTTTTTTTTGTATGTCCAGTAATTAGCACAGTGCTTGGTACACAGTAGTTCATATAAATGCTAACTAGTTGGATGACTGCCAAGTCTTCTTGAGGGCTTGCACAGCTCAAGGAAACTATGAGGAGGAGTTCCAAAAAACTGTTTTTTTTTTTTTACCTATTCAACCAGTGACCCTTGCCAGGCCTTTCAAGGACCTCTTTCCATGACTCCCTTGGCTTCTATTTTGGTGGCACAGGTGAGATAACAGACACCCTGGGGCCAAAGGAAAAAATGATACCTTTCTCTTGCCCCAAAGGCTCTATCACCCAGAGCTGTTGCTCAGGTCTATTCCACATGCCTCATCCCTTCAGGGAACTGGTTCACTAGAATCCAGGTTAACAGGAAAATCAGTTAACATATAGTAAATAACAACAAAACAATGAAAAACAGGATCATGGCATCATAACCAAATCCAAAATATCCCAAGACAACTCATTATTTTCAGTTTCTTCCCTTCCCTCACTCCAGCTACATTCTCCTTCTGATTTCTCTATTCCACTCCATCTATTTCAACAGCACCACCATTCTTCTCTCTCACCCTGGTGTGAGGCCTTAGTGTTTCACCCTTTTCCTATCAGTCATATTTCTTCCTAATTCCTTTGCCTTTTCTATTTCCACTTCCCTCATCACCTCTCACCAGAATTCTCAAGAAAATCTCCTCAAAGGGTCTGACTGCTGTTTCTGCTAGTGAGCAAGCCGCTTCAACTCTGAGCCTCAGTTTTCTCATCTACAGAATGGAAATAATACTTGCTGAACCCACCCTTACAGAGCTGTGAGAAAAATGTTTTGTAAACCTTAGAAGTACTATATAAACAAATGTAAGCTTGTATTATTATTACTTCAAGGCTCAGTTCATGCCCTCCCCCTCTCCCCCCCCAAGCTTTTTCTGGCTGACCCAGCTGGAGATGACTTCTCCTTCCTTGGAACTCCCACAAGCACTTTTTACCTTTCCAACGGTACTTATATTCTATCTTATATTTATGTTATCTGGATAGATGCCTCTTCTCCCCTACTGGTTTGCAAATTCCCAAAGGTCAGGGACTTTGTCTTACTCATCTTTCTAAAACCCCCAGTGCCTAGCACATACCAGGTGCTCAATCAATGTCTGTTGCAAAATCCGTTATATTACTTCATAGCCACACCTTACAAGTACCTGTAATTTCTACTACTAAGGTCTTAAGGTCTCAACTTCCTTAAATATACTACTTTCCTGATGTTTCAAGTTAATCTCATATAGTACAGTCATGATCTTACTTTCCCAAAGTATTCTAACCACCCACGCCCTCATGTTATTAGGAGCCTAAGGTTACTTTCTCTACTTTGCAGGCCGGGTCCTCCTCCCTTTCCCGATTCGGGCCCAGTCTCCCCTGCCCTCCCTCCAGTCCAGGCTCCAGAGTACGGTGGAAAGAGCTCCTGCTTGTGAGCCTTCCTCCTTCTGGGTCCCTGGATAAGTCCTTCTGCCCGCTCATCAGGAAAATGGGGGTAGGGGGGTTGCCCCAGACGACCTCGAGGCTCCGACCCCGGACGCGGCTGCAGGGCGTCCCGTGGTGCCCTGCCCCCACCCGGGCCTGTCCTACTCGACGCCGGGGCTGAGGCCGAAATGCACCCCCACACACCCCCTCTTCCTAGGCCGGTCCCCCCCCTCACCAGCCTCACTATCTTCACTATGCCCTTGACGGAGGTCAAGAAGTTGACCAGAGTCCTGGCCTCCATCTCCGAGTCAGCCATGGCACAAGCTCGAGCCTCCTAGGCGGCTCCGATCCCGACTCCGACCCCTCCTCGGCTCCGGAACAGCCCACCCGCCTGTGGCTTCAGTCAACCGCAGTAGCCGCGCGATCGCCCTTCGGTCCCTCCCCCTCAAACCGCCCTGGTACCCGCCTTCCCGATTTGGGGAGGCCGCCCCTCCTCACCCCCCCCAGCCTCACTACGCATGCGCGCCCTCCTCGTGTCGCGAGCCTTCCCGGCCCCGTGACATCCTCCAGAGCTTCAGACCCTCTGGACTCGGGCCGCCTCTTGACGCTCTCCGGAGAACTCAGAGCCACGTGAAAGCTCTGTCTCACTGCGCATGCGCGCCCTCCTTGTGACGCCCTCCTTCCCGGCCTCGTGTCTACCTCCAAAGCCTCTCGAGGGCCGCCTTCCGTGCCTCACCACGCATGCGTGCCGCCCTCTCGTGGCCCACCTAGACCACTTGTTTATTGGGGAACATATTGTTATGGTTCATCTATCCACACACACACACACACACACACACACACACACACACACACACACACACACACACACACACACACACACACACACACACACACACACACACACACACACACACGCACACACACACGGATGGATATAGATATATGTTAATTGTAGATCTGAGAGAGATATTTGATAAAAAAGATTTTTTCCCGTGTGACTACTTGCTTTTTTATACTAGATTGCATTGATTTTGTCTTCAGAAGTTTTTCAGTTTGATATGATCAAAGTTATCTCTATTATCTTCCCTAATTGCCTCCATTCCTTGTTTGGTTAAGAATATATTCCCTTGGGGGCAGCTAGGTGGCGCAGTGGATAAAGCACTGGCCCTGAAATTAGGAGGACCTGAGTTCAAAGCCAGCCTCAGACCAAACACTTGACACTTACTAGCTGTGTGACCCTGGCAAGTCACTTAACCTCAATTGCTTAAAAAACACACAAACAAAAAGAATATATTCCCTAACTTCAGCTGTGAGAGGTATAGATCTGCTTCTCCTTAAATATTTTTTGAATATGTTCTTTAATTTAATTAAGGTCACATATCCATTCCGTATGGTGGAATATGAGGTAAGGTTTTTATTCAAATTTAATTTCTGCTTTCCAGTTTTCCCAGCAGTTTTTTTTTTATAAAAATCAAATAGAGAGTTCTTTCCTAAGTAATTTATGTTTTTTCTATTTTATTAAACACTGGGCTATTGAGTTCCATTGATTCTGCTTCTCCTTTGTCGAGTCTGTTCTATTGAGCACACTGTTGTTTTTTAACCAATGCCAGATGGTCAGTCAGTCAATAAATATTTATTAAGTAACTACTGTGTGCCAGGCACTGTTCTAAGAGCTGTGCTACAAAGAAAGGGAAAAGTCCTTGTTCTCAAGAAGCTCACAGTTGAATGGAGAAATGAGTTATATGCAGGATAAATTGGAAATAATCAACAGAAGGAAGGCACTAGCATTAAGGGGGAATTTTAGGTGGGATTTTAGCTGGGACTTGAAAGAAGTCAAGGAAGCCTGGAGGTAGAGATGAGGAAGGAGAACATTCCAAGCTTGGGTTCAGCCAGTGACAATGCCCAGAGTCAGGAAATTGAGTGTCTTGTTTGAAGAAGAGCAAAGATGTCATTTTCACTGCGTGGAAGAATAACTGAGTTGGGGTGGGTTGGGGAGACAGAATGTGTAGAAGGGGGTTGTAAAATGTAGGAAGACTGGGCATTTAGGAGGGGTCAGGTTATAAAGAGCTTCAAACCCCAAGCAGAGGATTTTATATTTGATCATGGAGGTGAAAGGGAGCCAATGAAATTTATTGAGTGAGTGTGTGTGTGTGTGTGTGTGTGTGTGTGTGTGTGTGTGAGAGAGAGAGAGAGAGACATGGTCAGACCTGTGCTTTAGGAAGATCACTTTAACAGCTGAGGGAAGGATGGACTGGAGTGGGGAGAGACTAGTGGCAGGAAGACCAATCAGAAGGCCACTGTGATAATCCAGGTGTGAAGTGATGAAGGCTAGAACTAGAACTAGAATGGTAACAGTATCAGAGGAGAGAAGAAGTTGTATAGGAGAGATGTTAGAAAAGTAAAATTGACAGACTTTGGGAGGAAGGAAAGAAACAAAAGCATTTATTAAATGATTACTACATGACAGGCAATACTACAAATATTATTTTATCTTTATAACGACCCTGGGAGGTCAGTGCTATTATTATCCCCCTTTTACAGTTGAGGAAACTGAGGCAGATAGAGGTGAAGTGATTTGCCTGTTGTCACACAGCTAGTAAGTATCTAAAACTGGATTTGAATCCAGGTCTTCCTGATTCCAGGTCCAGCACTCCATACATTGTACCACAGAGTCTATTTAACAAGATTTGTAAATCATCATTACCATTCTTAGACTTTGCATTAGCTATGTGAGAGGACGCTTCCAAGTGATCTTTTCTTGGTACACAATGTTGATGGTAAGCATGAGCACATTTAAAATCTTATGAATTTGGCTTATAGATAAAGTGATCCATGGAAGGAGGGGGCTAGCCTCCTCCTCCCATGAATCAAAGAGAAAATTGTAGGAATTGTGTGAACCAAACTGATTCCATTTTGTAAAACTGACCCCATTTGGAGACCTGAGTTTCATTTTCCTGTAAATTCCACCTGATTGCTAGTCATGAGAATTAAGTGACATCCTATTTCACAACTAGAAAAGTCCATTTGCTCACTCATCCCCCTCCCAACTGGGAGAAATCAGTTTACCTGATTTTGTATCCTGGTTTATATATTGTTAACTGTTTTCTTTTAATGCATAAAAAAATCTGTCTCCCCCTGTATTTGGAGTCCAATGTTAAACTGACGAGGCAGGTGTCATGCAATTGGCACTCACTGTTTAATAAACTGATATGGTTGGAAGCTTGAATCTTTATTTTCTCAGTCATGTCGGATTTCACCCATCACACCAGAGACTGAAGTGGTGAAAAGGGCTGAGGGAGATTACACCTCCCACACATGGGAGGGAGTATAATTGTGTATTTGTTATTATACCTTCTGAAGTAAATATGTCTTTGTAAAAGCTCCATTGTACTAAATTTAGGGCTCCTATAACAACCATTTATAGCACCCTATGCAGATGAATGAATGAAAAAGCATTTATTAAGCACTTACAGTGTTTCAAGCACAGTACTAAGCATACAAATACAAAAACTATACGGTCACTGCCCTAAAGGAGACTTTATTCCAATAGGGAGAAATGACACATTTTGAAGAGTAGTGACCAGGGAGGGATATTTTGGTTTGAAAAGTCATAGGGTTGGTACATGGAACCAAAGAGGGTAAGTAGATTAACATACTTTTCCATTGGCAATGGCAGTTCCTGATTTCATTATGATTCCAAAGCTGGCTGGGTGGCTGGGAATATGGCAAGAAGATAGCCAAGGTATAAAGTGAAGCATGGCTGGGGCCAGCTAGTTATAATGCAGATAGGCGATGCAGTTATTTACTGGCCTTCAAATCATTCTCCCCTGTTTCTTAAATAGTTTGGTAAGTACTTGGCCCATAGTCATCTTTCCCTCCCCAAACTCTGCTTTCATTTTTGGGGACTTCAGTATCCACATGACATTATCTCAAACATCCTAACCTTCTAGTCCATCAACCTTCTAAACTCAAATGACATACAGAGTACTTTCATTCCATCTCAACCACACACTGGACTATATCCTTGATTTCGTCAATTGCTCAAGTGTTCTTCATAAGCCAGAGCTCTGGAATTCCTTTTTCAGATCACACTCTCCTATCTTTGCTTCTCTTCTTCTGCCTTATTCTTCCTTGTTATTGTGTCAGTCTGTTTGCTTAACTGTACTTTATTGTTACAAGGAAGGTCAAGTGTGTGTGTGTGTGTGTGTGTGTGTGTGTGTGTGTGTGTGTGTGTGGTTTTTTTTATCAATAATACAGTTACATAAAGAAAGAAAAAACATTATGACTGAACTCACATTACTTAAATTAATTTTCATGTTTACGGCTATGCCAACCAATTATGTAGGAATTACTTTATAGAAATAGAAAAAATAATAACAATTCATTTGGAGGAAAAAAAGACTTAGATTCTCAAAGGAAATATTTTTTTAATCTGAATTCAAGTGGGCTTATCATGACCAGATTTCAAACAATATTGTAAATCAGTAATCATCAAGACTATTTGGTAATTGTTAAAAAAAGAGAATTATATCATCAGTAACAGGAACAGGACATACACCATCAAGAACAGATTAGATGAGCAAGAGCCAGAAGAAATTGAACATAGTAACCCAGTGTTTATTAAACCCAGGAACACAAACTAATGTAGGAGGGACTTTCTATTTCATAAGAGCTGCTGGCAAAATGGGAAAACAGTTTAGTAGAGATTAAATTTAGCCCACTATCTTGTACCAAATAACACTTTTATCATGTCATTTATCTTTTACAACACTGACTATGAAAAGAATTCTTAAATAAACCAGGCATAGAGGTGGTCATGAAATATGAAACAGACAATTTGGTTATGTAAAATTCAAATCTTTTGCACAAACGAAAGCAATTTGGTTAGTGCTGGAGAAAAAAAGCTGTCAAATGAGAAAAAAATCTTTACATACAAAATCCCTGAGAAAAGTCTAATAATCAAGATAGGTAGGGAATTGACCTAAGAGCATTCCCAAAAGAAAAATGGTTAAATATCATGAATGGTTTGCAAAGAAGAAATGCTAATGATCTTATAAATATAAATAATAATGATCTTATAAAATTAACACATATAAATAATAATGATAATAATAAATATAATAAATATAATGACATTATGAAAATTTGTCAAATCACTAATTGTAAGAGAAATACATAGTTTTTAAAAAAAACCATAGGATTTTACTTCAAACCTGGCAAATTGGAAAAAAATGATGAAGAAATAGTCAATGTTGGCAAGGCTCTGAAAATATAGGTGTACTAATACAGTGTGATTGGAGCTGTGAATTAGTACAATCATTTTGGAAAACAATGTGGAACTGTTTACAAATTACTAATTTTTTTATAATCATTGATTCACCACTACTACATATGTACCACAAGAGAGTCAAAACAATGAAAGGTCCCATACATGTTAAAATATTTCTAGTACTAGTAAAGAACTGAGAACAAATTGCAGAATGTGACTGTAATGGAATATTATAAAATGGTGACTATAAGAAATTCAGAGAAACTTGAGAAGATTTTTATGAACTGATCCAGAATGAAGCAAGTAGAATCAAAAGAACAAGATGCCCAAGGAACACAATAATGTAAAGGAAAATAACTTTTAAAAATACAAGAACTTGTAAT